AATTGCCTCTAAGATTACATACTATAATTTACAACCTTTTCACCTGTAATAAAAACAGAAAAAAAAGAACCGTTCTTAAGCAATTAAGTTAAAATTCCCCATGGGTCTTTTTTGTCCTTATTTCAATGTGTCCTCAATTTCCCTCTTGCATGTTAAATAGTAGGCTTAAGTGGCTGCGGCGCATGTTGAAAGACCTCTCTGAGGGTGTTATTAATGTCAACAAATGGATCAAAGTAAACTCGTACACACAGGAATCTCAATGGCAAACTATGCTTATTTTCCTTCATTTAAAAAGCCAATGACCCAGTATTATGAACATTGATTTACTCCAAACACATGTCGTAGCAATACGCCTCACGCACCACGCACTTCCTACGACCAAATGGCCCCGTCTCATTAATAGGACACATTCTGTGTGTGAGGGTCTATAATAAAGGCCTGATTGCCCGCCCTTACGCTTCACCGGGTAATCAACACCAGATTTGGTGCCCAAATTTATGGGGTTATTCTTACCTTGGGTGCATGCTCTCGGGTGAATACACACACTGGGATAAAACTATTAAAACAACTTGGAAATACAGTCTCAACCACGTGAAAAAAAAAGATCTTTTTTTTATTTTCATTTTGTGCAACCACTCCCGTTATTACTTTAATGGATTAATACCAATTTGGTTTCCCCTAAGATCAACAAAACTGAACCGAAAGAAAAGTTTCTAATAGGAAAACTAATCATGTTTGTCATAGTTGCAAAAAAACAGGTTGCTCCTTCTAGTAAAAGGTGAAAGGAGAACTTCATTTCACAACAAGAAAGTTTTCTCTCCTTTTGAAACATCACTGCCATCAGTGGCACTTGCCGGCTTTAATATATTCAGTTCAGTAAGCCCTTAGTAAGGGTCACAATAATATATTCATGCCTAGACTAAATAGTGAGATCATGAATAAGGTAATGCAAACCTATTGCCATAATATCAGTCTGGGGTAGCGCTAACACTCGCCAATTTAGCCAAATGCTAAAACTGACTCAAATTGGCTAAAAAAAAGGGGCTTGACTTGACTTGTTTTAGTCAAATTATAACCATTTGGATAAGAAATTGACAAAAAAGTGGTGATTTGGCTAAGTGAAAGAAATTGCTAGCGCTACCCCAGACAGTGCATTTGAGGAGAGGGCACTGCATCTGAAGTTATTGTCAGAAACAGGGAGTGATTATGGCAGTCATTTCCCAAGAAATGTTTTAATAATAATAACATTGAAGCAAGGGGAGGTTTGAATCTCCTCCACAATATAGGTACTAGTAAGCTTGCTTGTCTCCCCCCCTTGCTCCAAGCAGAGACGGGGGAACAAAAATTAATTGATAGCAAGCAAATCAACGCAACACACAGTACCCCCTAACATTCAGTTACACAGAGTCTTTCTGATATAATGAAAGCTTTACAGAGGTGGATCCTTAATATTGACAACAGGAATTCTACATGGTTTTTCCCCTGTTAACGCACCTTTGCTATCCTTGTGCCGTACACTCGAGGCACTGGATACTAAAGTAGCGTGGCACCAAGCAGGATCTAATGCCAGACAAGTGCAAATATCCCATTATATACAAAGGGCTTTCTCTCCCTTTTCTATGTTGTAACTACTATTTATTATACGTTTGTGAGGGCTTTGGTAGCAGACTGTATCTATAGTGGTATTAACAATGTCACTGGTTGCTCGACACCTTTAGAAGCGGACTGCAGGGTAATGAGGGGCACTTTATCCTGCCAGCAACAATGTAACAATATAATGTTACATTGTAACAAGTTATCCCAGGTGGTAATTTCCACTCACCTGACAGCTAAGGACTTCTAGATCAGCTATGCTATGGCTACCATGTTACGTAAGTTCACTTTTAAATGACGGCATGAAACGATCAAAACTGGGAAACAAGGCACATAATCATCATTACCTTTTATTTTGACAGAAAAGAAAAAACTTCTGACTGAAACCATAAGATTGCTGTGTGATGCTATTATGCATCCCAGAAAAGCAGATATGATATGGTAAACTTCCAAGCCTGGCTGCTACATCCTTTGGAGATAATCTCTGCTCTTAATATAAACCTTTTTTTCCGTTTTTCAATGGTGTTGGCACAAGAGATCAAGCCTGCTCCGCACACATCGCCCGCTGCAGTTATATACACAAGCCCACACGCCTTTTATCCTCCAAAAGGCCATGGCAAACAACAACTCAGCCCTGTTATAACATGTCTGTCAGAGAGATTTTGAACTGATAACTGACAATTAAACTTCAAGTTCCGGGCACTTGTGAATTTCTATGCATACTCTCTTATTGGTTTATACTGATTAAGAAGACAAATAGTGCAGTCTTTATTATTACATAGCCAAAATTAATTATGGTCAAGCACATTTTACCTTGTTGGAAAAAGACTTCCCTATCATGGTTATCAGAAATGTAATTACCAGTTGTCCATATGCTGACTTATAAACTGATGGAAAAAACAGGGTCAACATCTAAGGTTCCTAACGACCTGTTATTTTCATACCCAAGGAATTGCAACACCTCACATTGCAAATCACAGGTACCAAGCTTTGATCAGAGACCAAAATAAACCTGCAAAATTGCCAGAAAAATGTTTTACAATATATGCTGGTATGGCATTATAAACCCTCCACTGGAGAGTAACCTTTGACTGAACCTGCAGTAATATATCTTATTTCTGCCCAATCTTTACCATACCAGTCATGTGTATACAAAAAAATATGTTCTCTACTGGCCTCTGACCTCAACACGAGATTGGACTCCATAATAAGTGACAGCATTATGGTCACTCACCACCAAAACTTTCATTCAAATAATTTTTCTTCAGTTTAGCAATATTTTGGTCTTAAAAAGCAGGCAAGTCACAAAAAATAAAGAATAAACAGGAAACATTTTTCACAAAACTTTCAACAGGCCTTGAGATTTCAAATACTAGTACAGGTTTTCCACATCTTTCTCATGACTAAACAAAACTGTGGCTGAAACAATTTCCAAGTAGCCAATATGCACATTTAAAGTCTGCCAAGACACCCTGGTTACCTTGGAGCAGGCTCGTCTTGCCAAATGCCCCCAGGTAAAGTTCATCTGGTATCTGAGGGTCAGAGGTCATATCTCGCTTACTCCCTTGGGAAAACCATCTTATCTGCTGATATCTCTGACTCTGAGCTCAGCATTTTTCAACTGCAGTTTCTGTCATGGGCTCTCTCCTAACAGTCCTCAAAAATTAACAAGCTTAAGGCATTATTCCTGCTTTACTTTTATATTGTGATAAGTATTTTTTTTAACCAGTGTGAATTTTATAAGTTAGTTGGAAAATATTCGCAGTTTTCACCAAGAAATTGTCAACATATTCTTCTACATAAAACAAATGCTTTATTGGAAAAAAAGAATCATGTAGGTTCCACAATGCCAATTCTTGTGCATCAATTTTAAATACCACAGGACCTTCTGTCACCAATTAGTTGGCTATAATGGATCTATGTTATCAATCTATACTGAAACATCTATGGCAAACCAAGTAGAAGTCAGCACCATGGTGGATGTTTTTCCCTTGTAAGTTTGTTTTAAAAAACAACTTCTTTGCCAAATCAATATCAACCCAACCAAAAAAGTGTCAATTATAATGACATCATAATAAATTGTAAGGGAATTTTCTGAGGGGTCATTCCTTACCCCATTCTCTACATGCCAGTGAACACCAATATTCGTGTTGAAAAGACATCACGCACACTGCTGAGCTTTCCACTGTATCCTGCCATACATCTCTGTCAGCATTACTTGATACAAATCCATAAAATCAAGACATGAAAATAAGACTTCTTTCTTCATGCTACAATGGCCAAGGCTTTGAGGTCTAACGAGGTTGGAAATTTCTGTTCTTTTTTTTTTCCTATGTGTGTTGTCAGTACTGTTGATGAACATGTGAGAGAGCTTTTAGCAATCTTTTGCATGTGCTTTGTTACATCTGCTATATTTACTAAACTGTGTTTCGGGCAAATCCCAACAACAATAATTCTCTATAATAAGAGCAATCGACTAATCTAACATCCTGAATGATTTCAAAATAGACTGATATTGATTTCTCATTAAAAAAAGATCAAGTAATATTCATAAACAGGTAGTTTTATGCCATTTTTGTTTGTGCATTGATTATATAATGAGTCTATATGAAGACCTTTTCAAACTGTTCAGAAAAAGTATTCATCAATTTTGAAATAATAAAAAAAAGAAAGTAAGAAAGAAAGGGAAAAAAACAAACTTTTCTTATGCCATTAATACCAAACCTGTTTAAGTGATTGTTAAGATTTGGAATCATTGAATGTGGAAAGGGAATTCTAACATAAAATTATACTTAATGACCACCGAAACAAGCTGAGGCCCATTTTTAGCATTGCTATCCTTCTGATTTGACTTCAATGCACTTACCTTGTGACTCAAAAACTAAGCTGGCCATACGAAGTGATTCACCTCATGTTTGTTTACGTTTGGAAACCAGACGGGTAACTCTAAATCTCAAACCCAAACTTCTGTCCTAAATTTCTTAATTAATACTGACTTGAGCTTTAGGATCAGAAAACTACCTACAAAAAGTAACTGGCTTACAATCATAGTATAACACCTTCTCCGCATGGTCTAAGCTGAAGGAGACTGCAACTTCCATGTCCAAAACTTGTTCAACTTTCACAAACTTAGTAAACAAGTTTTCCACATATCTAAACGAAGGCCATATCCAGTGTTAGATAAGTCTAATATCCCTTACTCACTGCTAGATGCTAATATTTCACCTTCTTTTGTAAAACTTTTCACCTTCTCTCTGGACGAGCCAAGGGAACTCCAAGGCTATTTTTAATTTAACATGGCGAGCACCTTGCAAGATGCACGCTTACCGAGTCAAAGAAACTGTTCACTTTGCTTCCTTCCAAGGTAAAAGTGTGACTATCTATTCCTCATGGTTATAGGTACTTACTTTATAAATGTATTCAGTGTCCCCCATGCGTTCTATAAGGCGAAGTTTCTGGTAAATCCACACAAACTGTCCATACGTATATCCTAACGTCTCTCTCGGTGCACCAGTGACTCTCAACACAGCTGAGTACGCCGACGTTACTTCCGCTGTATCCTTCCGCTGACTCCCATTCACAAACTCCGTCACAATGGGACCTATATCATATTTTAAACTTGTCCGCTCTCCAGGAATAAGATATTTCAGACTATAAAAAGGAAATATACATCACAATCTCGCTCATTCTAATATGTTTCTGGAGTTGTTGGGGAGAAAACCAAAGCTATCTAAATTGTAACTTTTTTGTCTCAAACTCGCTCTAACAGCTGCCCAAAGCTCGAGTCGCCCCCGCGATAGCACCGCCACCTATTGGCAAAAGTTTATATTTTATGTCAAGAGAGTCGCCGGAACCCAGAGGCAATTCTCATTATTATTGGTACATCAAAAAGGTTTTTTTTTTTTAAATTTGTGGGGTTATAGAAATCATAGTTGGACGGAATATCTGAGAGTGTAACAAATCAACTCATTCAATTTATTCCATATGTCAATTAAATCACTTTTAAAAGGTCTTTTTAAATTTTAAGTAAGATTAAATAGGCCATCAAACAATACAAGGAGCATTCAGTGTGCAACTGAAAAATCTCAGATAATTTGCTAGATATCATAACTTCCAGAACCTCATCTTTGTTTAAATGGTAATTGCATGTATCTCAGGTCACGGGAGTCTAAAAAACAAGATAAAAAAAACTGACAGGTGTGGTGTAAGCAGGTTCTCTAGACTAGCCGATGACGTCATCACAGTATATAATGTAGTTTTTTTTCTTGTGGTTATTTCTTTTACTTGTTTGTTTGAAATAGGAAAAAAATAAACAGAACAAATATCATGCTGACTCCCTTTTTTCTTGTCGCTGCCCACTGGAGAAAAGTTTTAAGCAACAGTTATTTACTGCCATGTTGTCAATATAGTCCATTAAATCAACGCAGTTAGCTTTGAACTTGGTCCGTAGAAACGTTTGATTTGGGTTTTCCATTAATGTCTTTCAAAAGCGAATATTACAAACAGGTTGTGTTAGTTGAGCATCCGAGAGGTGCTGGTTGTGAGCTCACCTAACGCATTTAAACAATAAATGAAGACATGGGTATGATTCGTTTCTCAAAACATTACTGTGATTTATTCTTTTTTTTTTCAAAAAATTACAAAGCAGTCTTGCAATTGTACATTTTAGTGTTTAAACAATCATTAAATCATTTATTCCTTTGTTTCTCCGACAAAGAGAAGCAAATACAATTTAATTCAAAATTTAAAAAACTCATGCGTAGGCCTACTGATATCTATATAAATCTTAGTTTGATCTTGAAATTTTTGAGTGCAGACTAGAACAAAGGTTTATTTTGAATTGGGTAGTGAAATGTGTGCGGAAGGACTGAATGAAACGAGGAATTGAGAAAACGGTTATGAAAATATTGCAATATAGTCTGCATATACGAAGCGCATTTTATCAGAGAGAAAACTGTGGACAGATGCCTTTAGTGCTAGGCCTACGGTTCTGATAGACAGTTCCTCCATGTTAGAGTTCCAAAGGATGGCGGTGTTTTATTATTGAAATTCAGTATAACAGTTTATGATAAAGTAGAAGGGATCATTGATATTAATGCTTTGATCAAATGATATCAAGATATACAATACAGTTGTCTTCGTGTAACTAATCCCACTCAAATAGTCCTCAGAGACTTGCAACCATTTTATTGACATTTGTTAAGTAACATCTATAAAGCCGCAGATATGGTAGTATTCGTAAATGTGCGGAGAATTCAATTCCTGAAATGATCATATATATATGAGAGGGTTGTATAGTGGAGATAGACTCTGTAGTAGAAAGAGTAATCGTTGACGATACTCATATAAACGTATGAATCAGCGTGGTGTCTATTTGGAAGGGGTTTTACTAGAAGCTAGGTTCTGTTTTACAAATGGAAGGCTGTCAAAAGAGAAATATAGCTTCGCTTGTAGAACAAGACGGGTGTTAGTAGTGGATGATATTGCCATAGGGTTTGACATGTTTATGAAATGCTGTAACATGAAGTACCACCGTATAACCATATAATGACTTAATATATCATTGTCGAATTACGAAATGGGGCACTTGTTTTTCCCTAATGGATGCCTGTATAACCTGCTTGGGGTACAATAGAATATGTAGAAATAAGTCCCCTGAAAAATGTTCAAACTAAAGATTATCAAACAAGTGATTGTATAAGGTTGTAAGCGATTGTAAACGTGTGTGAATTTTGTTAACGCCAGCAAAAGAGTCAATCACCGCACAGTTTGCGTAATTAGAGTCGGAGTATTGCCATTACATACTGAAACCAGACAATTTGTAATAAGTTGATGAAAGATAAAATTGTGCACGTTGTCATACATGTACATGTATGAAATGGTCGAGAAATTGGAGTCAAGGTTAATCTTATATTTCATTGTTCGACTTATGACAATTTTGGACGCATACAGACGGATTCAATTGGATTAGATTTATTTTTCTGACCTGGTCACCCTGGTGGACAGACATTGTCTGCTCTTCACGTACACACAAAAACTTTGGAGAGCATTTTCTCTGGCTGCTTCCAGGTCTGAAAAAGCTGGTGTAAAACTTTTTTTATCTATATCTCTGTATACCCAATGGTTCATTCTATTCGGCGATGTTGGGAAAATGGCAAATCCATCAAAACATGATGTATCTAATCAAGTGGTCTCTGCTGATTTCTCTCATTTTTTCTGATAGAATAAAAAAATAAGCACAATTATTTACTCACAAGCAATTGCTTCAATTAAAAACGTGTTCTTGCAGAGTCTATCATTTCTGAAGTACAAATAAATAATGCAAATAATGATTTGACGTGTGTCCAAAGTTATCGCATAACGTTAAATGCGTAAACATCAGTTGCCATGGAAACCAGGCTGTAACTATGATGGGCCAGAGCGCGATTATCATGTATCAGACCTATATTGCCGATGTGACAGGAATGGTTGTCCGCTGGGAACCGTAATCCGTTCACCATTACTTTGTACAGGTGACATGCTTCCCATATCCCAATACTCCAACTATCCCTAACCTGTACTAATAAAATCGGACCCCGGACTTCCATTCTTAGGACTACCATTCCTGTCACACAGGTAATAAGGCTTATTCGGAGAAAGAAAGCGGAAAATATCCGTTCAACTATACATTTTTTTGTGAAATATGAAACGATGCTTTTTGGTATGCTATTTGAAACTTTATGGTGGCATTTGGTCGGGTTTTGTGGCAAAAAAATTATTTCAAATGCATCTTTCATTTAAAAGTGTAAGAGTAAAGTTTAGTGTTAAGAGTACGGCGTAAAGCTCAAAGTTTCTGAGATCCAGTTTGCAATTGCTAGAAAACGCTGATATTTTCATATGGTTCCTGAATAATATCACTATCCTACAGGTAAGAGAACACAAATGGAAACTTTGGAACAACGCCAGCGCATTATCATATTGGCAAAATTTGCCAAAAATTGAATAAACCTCCTTACACGTTGAGTGTGTACGGGTCTTCAAGGAAGACTCACTCGGAATATAATAAAAGAAAAAATATTAAGATATCACGGTCAATCAATTATATATATATATATATATATATATATATATATATATATATATATATATATATATATATCTTCCATTCAAAATATTGCAATATATGGATCAAGCTTCAAACGGCGTTGTCCTTTTACGTAGTTTGACGTAGTTTAAGAAGTTCACTGCGCGTGCCTTTGAATGTGTCCAACACGTTGCGCTAACTGGATAGTTAAATGTGTCATTTTTATGCTATATGTGTTCAATGTATCATGGTCATTGAGGTGAACAAAACTAGCGAAGTTTAACAATGCATTCTGTCCACGTGCTGCGTTTTTCAATTAAATGTAGCATTATGTCCCTTAACAAGAAGACAACTCTTGGTTTCCATCATCAAAATTTTTTTACACACCATCATTATCCGTGTGAACTTCACATATCTAGTTATTTCGCCGTAACTTCATCGTAGCGGCTTGCAGCAGGCATCCAATGTTACAATTAAATCCTGAGATGGCCATGCATTTCATTTTCCTTTGATTTTCATCATTGTTACTACTAATATTAGCGCAATTAGGATAATTTCCAGTTAGGTGAAATTCAGTGCATGTCTGAAACCACCAGCCACCACCTGAAATGTATAAAATAAATATTTATTTATAAAAAGTATGGTTTCTGGAGTGTTAGTTACATGTGTATTACAGTGGAGCACGACACCAGTAGAAAATAGGAGTCATTCTTACTGCTTTTACTCTCTAAGCGTTGGTCTAGTTTTCCGGGTAATAGTTTTAATCCCCCCTCCCTTCACACACACACACACACACACACACACACACATATATCAAGGCAAAATTTATATGGTGTATGCAGTAATGTTAAAGACGTTCTATCTAAAGTAGATAGGGCCAAACACTTAAGCATAATGTACGTCCTAATAGCATCGACTTATCTCACAAATAAAAATGATATTTTGCAGTCAAAATGAAGGAAGGATGACCTAGCTTATTGGAAACTTGTCTTTCCTATGCCTACCTTATCACAAAGATAACCCCACAAATCCACAATGCTTAAATTGCATGCTCATCATTTTATGAAATAAATACTGCCTACCGTGATGCTCGGCGCACGTTTTACCAGATTTAGGGGAGTAAACATTGATGTTGTCAGCTGTTCCAAAGGCCCGTCCTCGAATTCTGCCAACGATACTTGTTGTTGTGTTGTAGGACTCGACAGTTATGGCGTCTACAGCATACTTCATTGTCTCATTTTTAATTCTAAACAGGTTCCATTTGACGTAGTAATATCTGCCGTTGCAGGACAACATATCAACCAGCATGGAGTAATTTCCTTGATTGGTTAACGCATAAAGGGCCTCATTGCCCATCCAGAACTGTAGGCGGGGATCCCCAAAACCAAACTTATATTCATTCCAGTTTTTATTAAAGTTCATTGTATCGTCATATCTTCTCATCACGACAAGCCATCCGTTGTCACAATAAACTTCCTTTGTTCCAAATCCTGTTATTTTGACAGGCAACACTCCTGTACCATCTATAAAAACAAGCAGTAATTTTATTGACGTTACGAACCGAGCTTTACATTTTTTGAACTCACGTGTAGTTTCAAAGGATACGAAGAAGTCTGAACATCGTAACGAACAATTGTGATTAATATTGAGTGACATTTATCTAAAAAGGCAAAATCTGTACTCTTGTTAGCTCTTTTAAGATTGGAATTGTCCTACAACATCACACCAACCATTCTTTCCCACAACTAGTGGCGCGCGATCTCACACGTGACACTATTAATTCATTACCAAAATCAATACACAATCACGACATTGCCTTTGTTGTTAAGGCATTATTAGATATCTTTTTGAAAAAAAAAAAAACGAAACGGGTATCCCTATTGATAAACCCTTTTTTACTGTCGATGCTTTTTGATGTTGAACTAAAAAGCGTCAGACTCACAGATGACGTGGAAATGCACTTACATTGAAAATAAACATGTATGAATAAAATCAAAGAAAAACATTGAATCAAATTCAACGCAGATCACTGTATTGCGTTACACACACTTTAAAAATAACAAAACAACTTACAAATGTCGTTGCAATCCACCTCTTCCTAAAATAGTACAATGGTCTCAAGAATGTTAATAAAACAAAGCAAAAATAAACAAACAAAACTCATCTTTATTAAAATAACAAGAAACAGATTGTTGACATTTGCCATTTTGAAATTTCATTCACTTTCAAATTGATCGTACCTTCTTAAGTGATGTTCAAAAAATATATCTTTCCTTCAAGAAATCATAACACAGCTTGTTCTCTATTGTTGATAATGCTACAACGCTGATTGAAAAATAAACTTGGTTTAAATATAAACTACTTACCTTGACGTCCTGATAATAGATTCCGCCGTCATGACGTATTAGTATGTCAGTGTTGAGAGCCTTCAGGGAATTCAGTTCACAATTTTCTGAAAAATCAACAACACAGAAATTTAAATAACAGCATAACTTCAGTGACTTGTAATTGGAAACAAATCGGCAGGGAAATTCGTCACGTTTTTCTTATGAAATTGGGGATGTTTACCAGAGAATGTTTTTAGAGCGGCTTATACTGGAAATATCTTTTTAAAGAGCCTATTTCATTAATCATAAGAGTATTCTTCGTTGTAAAATCTATTTTACCACGTTCATTCTTGCAGTAAAACCGAATCAAAGTAGGATATATCCTCCTGAAAAAGAAAATTTACGTACTGAAATATCACAAAACAGAATATCAGACTATATAGGACTCTTACCAAAGTGCCTAGTTTTGAAGTAGTTCCAGGAACGGCATCCGTCTGTTTGTAAGCATTCTAATCCACAACTTAAAGCGCTCTGTGCTGTCACCTTTTTCAAAGCAGACGACTGTAAAATGGCGTCCTTAGTAGCGACGAAACGTGCATTCTTCACCTTCTGTTGTGTTGTGAGCAGTACAAACAAAGCCGTAAACAAGAGTACTTTAAGAAGTATCAGTAGCCCCATGATGAGATCTGCTTTACTGGAATTCTGACGCGAAGATTTAAAATATGAAAGGGCTAATACATGCCAACCAACACCAACACAGACGCTGAGTGTTTGGAAAAAAGTTCCCAAAGTGGTCCTTTCATTAGCAGACTTTCGGATGACGTTGAGATCCAACTCTGAGCGGATCAACTCCAACAAAGTTTACGCCACTGCCCAACCTTAATGCGGTATTTATGTTCAGTGAGAATTCTACGTGCTCCCTTTAATAACGTACATGGATATCTGTTGGTTATGAACACGATTACCCGTAAAGGTACTGTGATTGATCGCCTTGATCTAAATACATTAATATTGGATAGGAGACGAATTCGAGGGCATAAACATACATCTTTACGTAATGATGTGTTGACGATGCAGATGCATTTAACGGCTAAGAGCTGTTGTTTTCCAGGATATATGGGTGGTGTCTTTTTCACCCCAATCACGACTTTAATTTTTGAATCCAAACGGTATTTTGTATTAAACATGTGCAAAGAGAAAAACAATGTTCAGATGTGTAAGGTGATCGCAGTCGCATTTCATTTCACAACCACATCTGACACATTGCCTGGTGAAAATGAGCTCATCTAACACATTCCCTGCTGGAAGTGGATCGTGCATTTTTCTGCTTGCATTAGGTCAAATTTACGTCAAAAAATATGAAGAAGTTGAAGTTAAAAGCTTTTTTCTGGCTCACCGAATGATTCATTCGGTTTGGCCCTTGTTATTCCGATTTTATTAAATTAGAGAATAGTAGTAGTGGTTTATATGCTCTCAATCGACGCTCGTTTCAAATGTATCTTTGATACTTTTTTTTCAAATACGTATATGACAACCATAATCTTTTAATCAAATCAGATGTGCTAGGTGACTACCCTACATTCACTGGTTCTAAGCACAAGAAGTGTGTGGCTTTTTCATAAAAAGTATTCTTTAAAGCACAAATAATTGTATATATAAAATGTGCCATTTCTTAAATTGTTTCCCTGTAAAATCTTTTTGAAACTACAGATGAATAACGCATACGTGATTTATAGTCATTACAAGGGGTACCGACAGTTTTTTATCATTCACACACATCAACTTTCTAAGGACAATCTCCGGGTTGAATACGAGATAGTAGACTATGTAATAAACATTCCATTTGAAGCGATTTAAGAAATTTAGTGCATCTAAACTGCATGTAGTGCCCTGGGCCAGGCCCATCCTACACAGGACAACGGGGCTGAATTTCGCGTGACGTTCGTAGCATTTATCACTTAAATGATTCTCAGCACTTGAGCGGCAAGGCAATGGGGACAGATGCGTTTACTTTACAGTCGGTCTCCCCTAGAGCAAGGCATTTTTTATCCTGAACTTAAAACGCCGCTTTCCCACCCGGGCAACGATTCTGTCCCATCAATCAATCATGGCTTATTACGGATACTACATACTAACGGCTGTCATTCCCGCGTCCATGTATTTCTCTAGTATTTTCACGAGTTGGGCCGAGTACGTGGCCGTGTTCAGTTCACCTACGTCAGATCTTTACAGTTCCTCGTCTGCTCTAGGTAAGTGACTGTCTATTTTGCTCGTGAGGGGGGGGGGGGAGGGGGCATTAAGATATCAAAGGAAATTCATGTCATGTTCTATACATAGCAGTGTGGCTACACCTTATGCACAGGGTCCGTCCTTTTTGCTGCCTTGCAGGGGTAACTTCTACTATGATACTGTCGAACAAATCCACCGTACGTAGGCTGGTTCAGCTAAAATCTGGTATAAAATCATTTAAAGAGAGTGAGCTATATTTTCTGTTTATTCTAGGTGAATATGCACTTGTTTACACGGCTTTGTCAAAATTCCTCCAAAACGGGCAATTGTATGAAAATGTAACATGCAGCCCTTAGACTGGGTTCCCAAACCTAGATCGATCTAACAGGATCGATCCATCTCCAAGGGGTTTCTCGGTAAATTGCTTTCAGCTTAAGCGACTTAGATGTCTAGTACACCTACTGAAGCTGCGAAACGAAAATTAATTACACCCAAACAGCTTCATTAGGCGTGTCAGACATCTAAGCCGCTTAGGTTAATTGCAATTAAGCGAGAATCCCCTTGGAGATAGATTAATCCACAGTTAGTACGATAGGGTATGAAATGGTCCCTTGAAAAACACATCTCACTGGTGCCATCTCAGCATGGGTTATGTGTTTTTGAGTTACTGTTCAGTGATCAACACCCCAATAAAAAAGAAATAAAGGTTAAAAAGATTCGCACATAGACATTTCAGATACTCGTACATCAGTATGCAAAACACGTAGAAGTCACTTAAACACTAGCACAATCGCGTACGTAAAACAGGTATGATACATCTTTTCTTTTCAGATTAATTGGACTTACGTGTACTAAATATAGCGATACGTATTAAGTCAAAGTCAGTAGACAAAACAGAAAGTGGTATCATCAAACATAATCTTTCAGAAAAATACATTAAACTAATGTTTTGCTTGGCGTTTATTAAACCTAACGTAGTCAAACTAAATTCAAATTCAAGTATAAATAATGCACGTGCCGTTATAGTCATTCATTCTTGCATGTTTTTATTATGTAAAGACTGCTACATCTTTAAAGGTTTATTGGACTTACTAAGAATAGATTATACGCATTAGTTCAACGAACTGACCAAAACAGAAATGCGCTCTTATGGAAAATACGACATACAACGGGGTATCATCGCACACCATCTTCAAAAAAAAAAAAAAAAAAAAAAAGACATGTACATGTAAAGATATTAAATAAAAGTAATGCTGCGTGTCATTAACTTTTACATTCTCGAAAATAATTTATAAGAATAAAACAAATTGCACATGCCGGGAAGAGTCTCTTATTTCATATTTATGTATGTTTAGGGGCTCCGAATGAAAGAAATAGTATGAATTATTAATGATCGAACAAGGCTTTACAAAAAAAAAAATAGGTTGCTTCAATTTTAATAGCCCAAGGTTGACTTCACGTATTTTGAATTTAAAATATTGCACTTATCTTATCGTTTCAGGTCTCAATCAGTCGCTATACCTAGCCTTTATCTTCGTGCCAAGCCATCTTACTAAGTTATTGGCAGATTTGCTTGGCAAGCCACTCGTAATACGGCTTGGGCTTGTTCTAATCTGTCTTGGACTATGCCTAAGTGCACTTGCTCCTAACATATATTTTCTGACAGTGTCTAGATCAGTTATTGTGGGAATTGGCATTAATTGGTTGATCACGCCGATTTGTTTTCTTATGGCCGAATGGTTTCCATGGCAACATCGTTTTCACGTGCTTGCAACGAGTTCCCAAGCGATAGCCAACCCTTTGGGTAAGAGTAAACAATTTTAGATGCATGTATGTACTCGAATGGCGTTCTGTTGAGTTTAAAGTTTATATAGGATGTTGTGAACTTAAGCTTTTGTAAACTGTGCTTAAACTGTTGACAGGCTTTTTATTTTAAGTTTTCGGTTCATATCATCCAACACTTAGTTGAAATTGTTACTTTCATAATAGGTCTACATACGTAAAAGAAGATGACAGATATTGTCTGGTATTCAATACAAGCATGTGATTTATTTTTTCCATTTCTCTTTCGCTGTGAGGAGAAACTGGAAAGAAAAACTGGTTAATTGTGCAGTTCTTTTGTTCACTTTTCTGCATCCGCCATGTTGCTTTTGGAAAGTTGTTAAGACGGCGACTCACCCCCCCCCCCTGCACCTATCATTGTATGTGTAGATATTAATCACTCAAATGACCACAGTTATTTTCCAAGCAATTAATCTGACATGAAGGGTGATTTTTGCATGGTACTTCCTTGCCTGACTTTGTGCATACTAGTAATGGTATGCGAATTCAAATAAGTCCCACCTTTTCTTCTTACAGGGATCGTCCTTTTCCCCCTAGCCATAAGATGGATCATTGAAATATCAAACTGGAGATATTCTTTCCTTTTTCTCGCCGGTACGGCTGCATTCTACGGCGTCATCATCGGATTGATCGTTCGAGATCCCAGGCCAGGCGAAGTGTCGAATGCAAAAAAGGATGACGTCAAAAGCGATTTCACAGCATGGAGTGAACAGTCTAAGAATATCATTAAGTTTATATGGCTGGCCATTGCTGTCTGTAAAGGGATAAGCCAAAGTGTGATTTATACTTTTTTGGTGAGTCCTTAAGTCACTGCATCTCTTGAGAATAGATAACCTGAATACATTACATGGAATCCGCAGATGGTCTCCCCGCCTCCACACGCACCGTCCCTGCAGGGGTCTAGCAATTACATCTCGGACCGTTTAATGTCGCGTGCAGAGGCGGAGAGACCATCAGCTGATTAGTCAGCTCTGCTTTTATGTGGGTCGGCCATATTTGATCCGCAGATCTGTTAGTCCGCAGATGAACTTGGGGCCCAGTCAGAATAGGGCACTAACTAGTCCGAGGGTCAAATATGGCCGGCCCACTTGAATACTTTCCAACGGGATATCTATTCAGTGTCTATCAGCGGATTAGACGGCAAGCTGTATAGTGGGTTGCCATTGTTGGCTCTCGGACTAGTTAGTCCCTTATTCTGAATGGACCTTGTTCTGAATTCTAATTTATTATAGGTTCAGTACGCCGAGGCCCAAGGTTTTAGGGGGCTGGAGTCAACGTATCCTCTCACGGCCGATGGAGCAGCTGGATTCGTAGCCAGACTTCTTGTAGCAATGTTTGGAGACCTGATTAAAGGCCGTTTATTATATATGTACGTCGTTTGTGCTCTTATGCTGTCGACAGTCTGTTTCTTACTTCCTTTTGCAGCCTCTTTACCAGGATTTATTGTGTTTGGAGCAGGTGCGTGGACAATTTTTTTTTTTTTTTTTTTTGCCACAAACATACATCGTGGCCAGAGGTTTTAGAATTCTAAACCTGACAGGAAAACCTTAAATAGATTTTATTGTCCTCTTAGCATCGTTTTGTTTATATGATATAATATTATATAACATTTTAAAAAACTTAAATGCGTTAGTAAAAAGCGAAGGATGGTGTGAGAACGATTTTAATATCACACTCGCCAAATACGGAATCGTGCGAACCGGTGTCACGTGACAGAGAGTCCCCCAAGACAGAGAGTCCGCTTCCCATTCATTTGTACAGGTAAGCCTCGCCCAAGATTTTGTCCCACTTAGGTCAGGCTAACCCTAACCATTATAACTAAATGGAGGTCGGACTTTCTGTAACACGGACCCTCAGTTTCGTTACACAGGTTCCACGCTGAAATAAATGTCATCAAAACTGTACCTGTACTGTATCTTAGTAATCATATCTTTCAAATTTGTGTTTTAAACTTCAAATGATTGTTCTTATGTCCTTTTTTAATGATTTTGAACAAAGTTTAGTTTTATTTGTTAGTTATCAGAAGAATATACATGAGACTTACCTATTTTGGCAACGTACATATTTTGGTAGGCCCCTTAAATAACTCATATTCAAGTTGGTGTTTAGAGAAACCACCATAATAAACAAGCGCATGCCACAAATAATGTTGTTCTTCACTGAAACTTTTCGTTCAAATCTAGTTCTAGGCTCCGGTCAGGGTCCAATCATCGCTGCCTGGTACGCCGCTTGTAACGAGGTCCTTGGTGGAGAAAGCGTGCACGAGCTGTTTCTTTTACAACGTGTAGGATGGGGAATTGGTCTGGCTGCTGGGGGTCTAGTTGCTGGTAAGACCGCGACAGAATGATTGAATCAACGGCTTAGTGTTTTATGTACCAGTAACGGAGGCTGGAGAATTGCTTTTTTTTGTGAAATTTTTTACATGATGGTTTTTATTCATGGGTTATGTTAATATAAAGTCAGAGTACCAGTACATGTTTACAATGTGTAGTCTTCAATAACGGTAACGTTAACGTTTTGCCTGTGTGAGTTAAGCGAATTTCTCATTGTACAATATACGTAGAGAAAAAAAACAGTTTTTCCAACAACATAGTAAGATAACATTTTTCTTTTGCCCACATCTTCACTCCCGTTCACCTCCAGCTAAATGACCACTCAGCTTCGCGTCTTACGCCACTTGACGTCAATTCCGACACAATCCTGTCTCCTCCGGTACCCTCTATTAAGCTGGTGAACCTCTTTAATTTGTTTCCCTTCATTATCATTTCAGGCCTCATTCTAGATGTCTTCCAATCTTATCCCATGGTGTTTTTTGGCTTGGGGTTGTCTTACGGTTTTATACTACTCGGCCAAGTCGTCATTATCCTCTGGAACAAATATCGTGAAAAAGTCTCACCTTATGGTTCACAGATAGCGTCACTGTCACTTACCAAAGACAGGCAACAATGGAGTGACTCAGAATGACAGAAAATTGATAAACTCATCATAACTTTGCATGCCATTTAACAGAGCTGAGAGGGATCGCTAGTGAGTTTCATGATTATTGGGAGGAAGTACATCTTTTCTATCTAGATATTCACAGACTATTTGCCGCGTCTCTGTAAAAGACAAGGCTGAGCTCCAAAAACTGAATTAGTGTGTTGAGTCTTCCGATAATTATGCCATGTTGTCTCTTTTACACACAGTACACTTAAACTTTTAATATATGCACCGAGTGTCTACATACCTTGGTTTTTTTCCTCCCAAATGCTCGCATGATACCGGTAGATGACGGCAAGTGTGGAGCTTGGAAAGGACAGCTCATGCATCTCAAATTTGAAAATAATAGCAAATAAATAATCAAATAAATAATCGATAAAACGTGAAAATGTGCTTTTGTTCTCTCTTTCTCTCTCTCTCATCCGACATGAGTCTCATTAGTTTGTTACGTTATTCAATGAAAGACCTGTGAGATTTGAGATAATCGAGCCATTTACTGTGAGCCACCACCGCGACCCTCACTNCCCCCCCCCCCCCCCCCCCCCCCCCAGAAAAAATGGCACGGCAGCAGAGGGGACAAATGCGGGGTGGGGTGTTATCACACGGCTGGGTACCTGACGAAGGTCTGAAGTCCATGTACATGCTTAACAAAGAATGGGGTAAAAATACAAGTAAGATGGCGATTCACGATATTCATTACGAAAAGTTATCAAAATTAATTTAGTCACTGAACACTGAAGATTTATTTATTACCCAAAAGAATCTATGTAAGTCAGTAAATAAAGCGTTTTGGGCGAAGGGTGACAATATCCTTAAGTGCAATTTTGATTTAAATTTCATAACTATTTTTCTGTCCAGAGAGGCGCTATCGCGAGTCACATCTTTTCCTATAACGCAACATTTTCCAAACCGGTGAACCACCAAATCACACCTAATGCATTCATCGGTTGACTGTGATCGTGTGCTATCGTGTTATCATCCCGGTGCGTTGTGTTGAAACGCTGTCACACTTTTAAGTTAAAAGTTCAGTCAAAAATGAACTACATTACGGAGTAGGCTCTGCTTTTTATTTAAAATCCACGATTTATTCGTTCCTACTATGGTGCACGTATGGTATTTTATATAAAAGCACATAACATAAAATATCCTTGCAATGTATTAAGTATACATTAAACAAAACGATGACATGAAATGATATTTAAAACCCTAAGATGATAACTGTATTGCACCTTTAAAAAATCGCAAAAAGATATAAGGCTTAAACCTATATTCTTAAATTTTTTTCTGTTAGTCTGATTCATTTCGTTTGGTCTCACTATTAACTCACTATAAAATCACAGTCACAAGGTAAAAAAAGTTATGTCACATCTAAAAAGTATTGGAATGTGTCAACAGCAAAAGTTCTTTCACAAATATTAATATAATATACTAATGTATTCATTTAGTAGCTGTGTTTTAATTTGAAAACTGTAAAGGGTTTCTCGCTGTTTTAAAAGACCCACTATTAGGTCTCCTGGGAGAGGTGCTAAAACCCGATGACACAGTAGTCTTCGTATCAACAATTCTATTGTCAAGTGTCACCTTGTCTCCTGTCACATCAACTAACTTCATGTTAGAAATGTCCTGTAGGCTATTAATACACCTGGGTGATGACATCCCATACGTAATTGTTGAGACAGAGTGCAGCACACTTTCGTGTGACAAAGTTTCAATTGGTGAAGTATCTTTGGCTTGTTCAGAGGATACAACGTTCACAAGATGCTGAGCAGTTCCATATTTATTCTGCTGTGGTGTATTTGGGGATGTAGGTCCAACAAAACTTTCTGAAAAGGGGCTTCTTGCATTCTTTAGTCTTGCAGTTTCCAAAGAAACCTCAGGCTTCATTTTCACTTTATAAGATTCACAGCCAGGATAAGTTTTTGACTCAGTAAAACTTTTATTTTCAGGACTTGTTGGTAAAGAAGCACAACCATCACTACCAGGGTGTCTACCAGTCTTGAGCGTGTCCCTCCACGCTGTCCTGTGAGACAGAGAGCCAGGGGATACATCTTGGTCCAACTGGGACTCAGATACTGTTTGAGCTGGACTTTTCACTTCGAAACTTAGCCGTGTCTGTGCGTTTTCTGTCTTCTGTCCAGTTTCCCGTTTTATTTTCTGGGCAGAAGGTTGCCTGGATTTCTTCTTGCCTGATTTATGACCCAAGCTTGTTGGCCCTGCTTTAGAAGTTGTGCTGTAAGAGGATTATAAATTATCCCATGGATAACATTGAATTGTAAACATGCTATATCTCAGCTAACAATTTTGCAAGAAAGTTCTCGATTTATGTAAGCCATAAGCAGTAATATCTAGAGATTTTTTTATACGTGAATGTCTATTTTTTTCACTAATTTGATCTCTTGTTTTATATCAAAGGGGTATTCATACTTGGCAAAATTATTTGTATGTTAGTCTAAATTCCACATTTACAATTACCTTTCTGAACAACAACTACTCAGTGTCGCTATTCATTTTTCCTTTTCTTCCCACTATCCCAATAAGAAACTTTTTCCAATTTTTTCTTTTTGCCTTACCATTCTTGCAGTAACTCTTCCAGCCCTGCAATGTCCAGGGAGAATGGTTCTCCTTCTGTTGCATCAGCAGTAAATACACAGGGCTGAAGCTTTTCCATTCCAGCAACTAATTTGTTCCATTTCTCGTTGCCATCAACTTGACCAGCACCTAAATACAAAAGTTTAAATTTGTGGATTACTGGCTAATGTTTTACATTTATGATTCAGAGATTTAAGTGGCTCTTTTTAAAAAATTCTGAAAAATTTAAGTCCTGAAGTTGCACAAGGGTACAGTGGGGAGGGGAAGGCAAAAATTCACCACCTAAATATACCAATATATTGAGAGTACTTTTATCTCTAACCACTAAGTTTTCAAAACTATGTCCACAGACGTCTTAGGTCTTTCAGTATACTTCATTCCCCTTATCTTTGCAGGCCCACAGCCAGCAATTTCAAAGGCAATTTTTTTTTTTTTTTTTTGAAAAAGGTGACCTTTTACCATGAAACCTTCATGTACCTAGATAAAATTTTACCAAAGGGGACCTTTTACCGGAAAAAGGCAGTTCAATTGAATGCCCAGGACATCTCCCCCTCCCCGCTACAAAACTGATCTCTCCCACCTAACCCTACCACCTGAAAAGTTAAAATTAAATTCACAAAAAAAGAAAAAAAAGGAGCAATAACATTCACACCATATTCTTCACTACATCACCTCTGACATCTGTATCCATCATCCTGGTGCTAGTTTGCATGTTTGCGTTCTTCATGAAGGACTTGACGTAGGCAACATGATCCCCGCTACATGGCTGTAGAACACACTGCCTTAGCTGCCACAGCTGAAGAAGGTCCTCCGCTTGGTCAATCTTAGCTTTGTAACTGTCCTTTTTAGTCAGGATGGACTCTATAAAGGATAATCATTTATACAGCAGAGGCTTAGGCTCCATTCCCATAGATTTTAGATCGATCTATCCCCGCGGGGAGTCTCACTAGATTACTTTCAGATAATCCGACTTAAATGTCTGTCCCGCCTACTACAAGCTGTAAGGGGGTAATTAACTTTCGTGTCCGCCCGGCTGACAGCTATTTAGCGTGAACCCCCAGGGAGTTAGGTTGATCTAAAGTAGGTCGATCTAATCTATGGAAATGGGGTGTTACATTATGTATGCAGATAGCAAGATACTTAAAGAAAATATGAAATAAAAAATATGCTTTGAGGAAGACAAATGTAGATCATCTGCTGTACTACAGTGTAGATCTGAAGTGATTTGTTCTTGTAAGTTTTTAATTTTCTCTGCACAAGACAAACCTCCCTTCATGCCTCACAGCCACAGGTCCATGTAACCTTTATCTCTTTCTCAATTAACTTTAAAAAAAGGTAGTTTTCTAATAATGAATACCAACAACAATCTACTATTGTCATCTATGTTCCTCATTGCTATTGTTATGTCAGTGGTTTAACTCTATCAAAACTTTATATTTTTACTTTGTGTATTATTTCTGCTGTTCTGTTCCACCATGTTGGGCTCCTCCACTTTAAGGTGGCGCCCTCTCCAAGACACTCCATTCACCTCCTTGACAGCACGAAGAGCACTGGCCTTCTCAATAAATCTGACAAAACTGAAATAAGTGCAATCATAAAAATTAAAATTTAATTAAATTTTTTATAAATAATTTGAAAAAAAAATCTATAATAAAGTAACTTGAGAAGCCAGTTGTTTGAGAGACCATATCCTCTTTTTTCTTTCTGTACTAACTTAAGTGCATATTTGATGACATAAATCGTACATATAAAATATAACACAAGCATAAAGTCAAACTACTTCCAGTACATTACATCTTCTTTTAACCAAACAGAAACAATACTAGTAGATTTGATACCGATCCTGAAATTACAGTACATACAAATTTATTTATCTTCAGGTGTCTTTGCAGCTGATGGTTCATAAATTATATTTACAAAATTGAGAGTTTTATACCATATAAAGAATACTACCTAAATTTGGATTCCTGGTTGTCACTGGCATTTTGTAGGAATACTTCTCTTGGGGCGGCAATGTTCTTCTTGAACAATTCAAAAACATCTTCCTAAAAAGGCATATTTGTAAGTAATACTGTCCTCCATGGAATAAGTAACAAGAACCTGTTCATCTAAAACATGATAATTTGAAATATAGCTCTGCAATTCATATGTACATTAATTTTAACTATATAACACAATAATGTTTCTTCTAAATGATGAAGAAGATGAATTTATAATTGATTTTATGTATGTATATATCAACTATTTTAGTAGTCAGACCAAATCTTCTTTGGTCCTAATCCAATTAGAGTTAATATACTATTTAATTAAAGTCACCTTTCCAGCAGCAATGGGTAAGTTTCCAACATAAACTGTGTGCAGCTTTTTCCTTTCTTCTAATGTCAGTATCGGACTGCCTGGGCCTGGCAATGAAAAATAAATATATGAATAGACTTTGTGGGGCTGTGTGTGTATGTGTGTGTGCGCGCGCGCGCGCTCAAGGTGGGGGGGAGATGCCCCTTTTTCTAAAACGGATTCAGCACTAGCCCTAATTCAAGTTCTAGAGAGAAACTCACAAACTCAGAGAGAGAGAGAGAGAGAGAGAGAGAGAGAGAGAGAGAGAGAGAGAGTTAGTTACATTTCCTCCGCTCGCCAACGTTATTCAATGTGTTTTGGTTTTCAGGAAATGCTCCTTCATCTCGCTCGCCCATGATCCTTTGCAGAGCTACAACTTCGATCCAAATAGCCCTATCACCATAGATCTAAATTCATTAATGAATTCGTCCTCATTGATGTCGATGAAAACAGGGGTGAAAAAGACAACAATGCATTTGGAGGTTACTGGCTCAAGCTCGTAGGCAAGTCCTCTCAGTTTACAAGATGGCCGCCTTATGTCATTATATGGCAGGTCATAGGTGTCATCTTGGGTTAGAGGTCTTTACACCTAAATTCTCCTTTCAATGAAAGTTTGGTAGAAAACAGCTAATTGAATGCCTGTTATAAAATCACTTTCTAGATGACATTGTATCGGTACGTCTGATGAAATCCATATGTAGGCCTAAAATAGCAAAAAAACAACCAACTCAAAAGCTCACTGAGAAAGAAAAATATTAAATCTGATAAAAAAAAAAAAAAAAAAAAAAAAAAAACAGGTCGCTTAAACGATAATTCCTGTTCTTGATCTGGAGCCGTAAATAAGTGACTTCGAATGCCGAATTAAAAACTTGTGGTGGTGGTGAGATCAGTTAATGCCTTGAAATATGTAATAACCACAACGGAAATATTAAAATCTCATCCAACACAATGCTGCATAGGATATAATACAAGTGCAACAAATGTCGGTAGCCTACACAGTGTCGCATTGCCTTCTTTTCTTGCCAATATCAAAGACTGGGTGAAATTCGCACTCCAGTCACTTGGGGTTCATTGTAGATGTAATGTCAACTATCTCAATATAACCCAAAATATTCAATGCGGAAATAATGAGTTTAAAAAATCTTAGTCATCCTGCAGTTAGGCAGTGGTGGGGCATGTTCCATTATGTCCCCACGCATGAAAGAATGAAAATGATATTCATAAACACAGGTTGATGTAATCTATAACATCATGCCACAGACAAAGTAAATGTACGTATGACATACCACGCCTTACTTTTTGTTCTTAAAAACCTGTGCAGGCGACCATAGATGGGATGAACGTACCCTCTATCACAGATTGATTTTCCCCTAGATATTCATAGATACACCTGTAGTTAAATTGACGGTTAGTCTCCGAATTGTACTCCGCGTTAGAGAAAATATCCACATAATAATAACTGCGGCCCTGGTAGAGGGTAGGGTCAGCCACTATTCAGGTTGTTGATGCGGTATATACTGAGTGATTTTCACTTGTGTATAAAATATCGTTTTATCTGAAGTGTACAAAACTCAAGAACTTGATGTAGTACTCGGTCTTACAGCTGAACAATGTGAATGCTTAGAATCTGTTCAAAGGAGAGCTCTTAGAATTATTTACCCATTTTATACTTACAAGGATGCCCTACAGGCTAGTAATCTCACCTCTCTGAGGGAGAGAAGAGTCGTTTTACTTAAGAACTTTTTTACAAAAATCAAGAATTTTAATAAGCTACACCATCTGTTTAAACAAAAGAACCCAAGAAATCTCAGGGTCAGCAACAAATTTTTAATACCAAAAGTAAAAACGGAGCGTTTTAAATCATCTTTTATAATACACAGTCTTTTAAATTTTATGTAAATTACTGCTTCAAACTGTCTTATAAGTCTTTGGTCCTTTTAGTTTAGTTTATAATTCTTAGTTAATTTTAAAATACCTTATGATTTTATTATTTAAGACGCATTGTAAAACTTCAACCTATTAGGTTGCGATTTTAGTAAATAAATTATTATTATTATTATTATTAATACATCTTAAATTCATATTTATATCTGATAAAGGAAGACACTTGTTCCGAAAACTGCAGTAAACACCACCCCGAGTCCCCATGCACTGGTGCTGATAAGCACATAAAGTGGAGTACTTCTCGTAGACCATGACAAGGCCGCACCGATAACCTCAGACGTAAAAATAATATGTAAACATAAACAAGGATGCAAAAAAGAAATGATTGCTTTGCGCGTCATTTCGTTTTACCACCACGCCGACGGATCCGGGGGCTTGGATACCTGTTATTCACAGCTGCGCGTTTGATGAATCACACCTAAATGGTATAATAGTGCCGCATTTAGGATATTTAAAACCTCAGTTTTATGACACAACATTGCCTATTCAAGCAACTATTGTTGTTGTTGTTGTTGTTGTTTTTCTGTCTTCTCATTACGCAAGATAGAAACTTTTTTAGCTTGCTTATAGTCAGAATCGATTTCTTTATTTACTTAAGTGTCCCCGTTCAAGGTACCATACTATTCCAGCAATTGTTAACAGACAAAAAACGCTCAAAGCAGAGTCGTGACCTTATTCGTCTCAGTTGCCATCCAGGTGGGTTGAAAACGGGTCACAGGTATAACAAGAAAAAATACATACTGACTTATCATATCGTAGTCATCGCCACGGTACTGAGCTGCTCACGCCTTAAGAGTGGGGATTATTTGTAAATAAGGTAAGTGGTATTGACTGTTATGTACAAAATCAAGATAATAGTTAGTTGTTCATTAACCCAAAAAGTAGGAAGCGCTGTGTGTAAGTTTCATGTGTGCTTTACTAAGAAGTACTGTACGGTACGGCCCATATCATTTTTTTACGTAGATTGCGGAAGTTTCGTTCCGTGACGAAAGAAAATCACGAGAAAACAATGTTGAGCAAAAAATTCTAATTGATGGAATGTCATGAAAACAAAGGTATATAATTAAAAGGCTCAAAAAGCTTGTTAAAGAAGGGGGGTGCCGTAACCATATCCAAGTTTCTTTTTATGAGGTAAATTCCCTTATCCACGATGTTCTAATTATTTACAATTATTTCACTGGTAAGGATGTTGATAAATTAGGAGGTCATGGACCAGTCGTCGTACAGAGGGGCAAGACGTGCACCACTTTGCAACGCACTACTGGTCTTAAACCTGGACAATGGAACTTAGGACCTCCATTCTGTGTTCAAAAAGTGGGAATTACTAACATGTACACCGCCCTTTTCATGGATATCATATTTCAAATCACAGGTTATATTGTGACAAGATACCTAGATCCCGATCCATGCTGTAAAATGTTCAGATTTCAAATTCATTCTGGTTTCTGGAATATAGTTGTTACAGTTTCTTTTATCATGTACAGATTTTAGTGAATAAAAAAGGTGATGAGGCGACCTTAAAGGATTTCAACTGAATTCCACATGTGGATCGGGTGTGAAAGAGCCATCTTGGAGTTACCTTATTACTTTACATCTTTAGAAAAAAGCACACCTGGCTGTGTTTGGACATGTCGCGCATCCAAATAACGACACACCGCGGGGTAGCATAACGTGGCTCAAATCATAGCAATGGCACACATTTTATTTAGACACTCAAAAGACACTGAAATCCCTGTATTATTATACCCTCTATCAGGGCCGCAGATTTCATTCTGTGAACTATTCTCTGACGCGAAGTGCAGAAAAAGTTCCATCATTTAACTAGAGACATATCTAGTGAGAAATCAAACTGTGACCCTCCTGATAGAAGGAAGTGTGACCATGTCCTGTTATATTGGGCTTGGCGAAATGAAAAAAAATCTCTGCTGCGTGCACATATAAGTCAGGATATGTTCAGGATACCGTGAGGCATAAGCCAGTGACGGCGTTGATAATGTCAGCCATAATGTAAAGAAATCACAAAGATAACATTGGTTTTTTATACAAGAAAGACAGGTCATGCATGAAAGAAGTGAACGCGTAAGGAGGGTAGTCTTGCGTCTTTGGTGGGGGTTGGGGGAGGGAGTACAGTTTACGCTGTCGATAAAATTATATCCCAGAAAGGCTGTATAAGCGAAATAATCCACAATTCAATGATACGTATGAGTTTTTGGAAGATAAATTTTATTCCAATGCATGGCATTTTTGCGTTGAGATCCTGATCATTTCCTCTTGCATAGCGATATTGTACTACTATTTTAAACTGTTAAACCTTCCTCTAGCGAATCACTTCTGTCACGAAATGCAAGGTAAATATACTTCAGCATATTTCTGTTCAGTCGTATACCAGTATAACTACTGTTCGTTATAGGTAAATATAGACCCCGAAAGGTCACCCTTTAAGTAAATCAACATTGCACCATGATGTGACTTGAATCATTGATGGTAAAATCACATCAAACTCAGGTAGGATGACATCGGTGAAATGACTCTTGCAAGCGCTATTTTATCAATGCACAGGTTTTTTTTAATCTTTTATTGAAGGCATTATTGCCTCCGCGTCTTGCGAGGTTGAATACATAATATTACCATGACAAGAGGAACCCAACACGACACCTTGCCTGCCAAAATTAGTTTTAGATATGTGATTAGCCTGCGACTGTTCGCAAGGATTTTAATGATAATATCCTTATAAACAAGTTTTCATTGTCCTACTGTATGTTACTGCTCAATTGCAAAGATTTTTCTCGAACTTTACTCGATTTCTCAACAATACGATAATACGAGTTTTAAAACTCAAGTAAAAATGCTACATATTTGACTAATGCCATTTTCTTCTATTCAAACAAAATATTTTTAGATCCTAAATTTGCGATATAAGGCGTTAAAACTACACGTACCTGAATTTAAGAATACATACATGTATCAATTTCAAAATTTCAGTCGCAAAATAGAAATTATTATGATCATCAGAAAAATCACGTACCGTCACAAAAAGAAAAGCCGATGAACTACTAATACAAAAAAAGTGAACATATAAAAAACATATTAAAGTGAAAATATAAAAAATAACATGTCTTTCACGTGATAAACGGCATGGTATTTTATTGCTGAACTACGTGAATGTCACACTAACTGTCATTTACCACTTAAAAGCCACTTCAGATTACCTTGTCTTACTTTCTTTATATAATCACTGCCAACGGCAATAGTTCTTGCGGTAATGTGGTGACAGCTGAGACGACGAAAATGCCTAAATCTAAAGTCCCTTTTACTGATTAATTTTAGAAATGTAAATGTATGCGTAAGAACAAAATATTCTGGAACGCATTTAACATGCTTAGACTTTATTTAAATTCAGGTTTACGTAATTAAGGCTGACGTAAACTGCGGTTGTGAGCTTCTTTTATTAAGTCAAACTTAATGTCTGACAAAGTCATTAATAAAAGCTGTACTAATTGTGGGTGCATCTCCTCGGTGAATGAAAGAGTTCAAAAAGTACACAAGTAGTTTAGTCAGCATTTCTTGAGTACACTGTTACACTATATCCAGTATTACCTTTTACAGTAAAGAATAAGAATATACAATGAAAATAAGGATAAAGAGGAAAATTAGAGAAAAAAAGTGAGAAGGATGATTAATATTTTAACATTGGTACTCATAATTTAAATGTTCTTAAATTTACTGAATTTAGGATCTATAAGATTCTCTAATTGAAAACGGCGACACCAGGTGTTGGGCGGTCTAACAGGTGAGAAAAGTCAGATCTCATCTAACATGACAAAGGACAGTAAATTTACCAGAAAAAAATATCAATATATCAGAATCTTTCCGTGCATGAAATTCAACGTACAGCCAAAGTAACACGAGAGACATATTTTCGGTTTATTTTTCCCCGATTAATACGGATCAGTGAATTATCCAAGGTAAATCCTTCTCACACATTGTACTTATCACATTTTTATCATTTTATTGGTTTCACTGCGTTGTAGACTAGTGTCTTCTTTCGTCTTATTGTTCATATACTTGTAAATGATACCGGTGCGTTAGTAAATACGTAAATATGTCAGTAAATACGCCTTTGTAAACAGGGAGTGCTAATATCTACACAAAACAACTTAAAATGTTTAAAAGATGGACATAAAATTCTATTTATATATATATATATATATATAGAGAGAGAGAGAGAGAGAGAGAGAGAGAGAGAGAGAGAGACGTCAGTTAATGCCCCATGCCTCGCTCCTTGCAGTAAACAAGTGCACGCGCATTGTTCTCCACTATATACTATTACCTGATACAAAAAACATTCACCTTGACATGCTTTGTTATTGACGAAAAACCTGGGACATGACTCAGAATGCCTGGGTAAAGTCAATTACATTCAATATGAATTTTTTCTGTCTACATTATCATCGTTAAGCTGTCTGAACACACACCAAAAAAACGCAATACTGCGATATTTTATGCATGTATTGTTGTTTGCGGTATAGATGTCAGACAGAAGGGAGTATGAAAGGACAGAGCACTGTGTGCTGAAAAATAGAGTCGTGTCCAAATAAACAGTGGAAAACGAGGATCACGAAAGTGCATGGTGACAGTGTTTAAAAAAAGAACTTATTTATTTTTTTTACTCCCTGTTATGAATGGCACTGCGTTCAATAGAAAGTATTGAGGTGTCATACGCAAATTTATTGGCTTTTCTGAAAGGATGGGATAAAAAGGTTGTCTGTGGCCCTGTATATTGTGTCCAGCTCTTGGTCATGTTGTCAGATATTTGTGTTATCATTTCGATATGCTAAAATTAATTTGCGCTTCCGATAAAATAATTTTGGTAAGTACCGTATACTAGCCTCGTTATCTACTAAATAAACGGGAAAAAAAAGTTGACAGTCAAAATATTGAAAACCTCAAAATTTAGACAAATTGCATATTTTCCTTTTACATCGTTTTTACAAGTGTGTATGAAAAGTTTCCAAATTGATATCTTAGCAAGGAATTTTATGGGAATCTTTGGGCCCCTCCCTCTGACGCTAAGTAAAGATATTTTCTTATGATCAAATTTAATAAACTTGAACTGTATTGAGAGTAGGCCTGGTTTTTACACAAGATTGCTTTTACACAGAGATCTCTTGTCCGTTATGTACTGTAGCGCGTTATATTAATCATATAATAAACAATTTATATCGAATGTTGATCCAAATGAAAGGCATTAAAACCCAGTTGGAATGCGGTAACAATACCCTTAACTCTACAAATTTGAAAAGCTTAGTAAGTATAATGCATGTATGTGAAAGGAAGAAGCATTGCAACCTTTAACGGCAATACACTCGCTGTATTATAGTAACAACTGCTATTCACAAAACATTCAGAGTACGCGTGCTCTATGTGCTGACGGGATACACGATTCAGGAACGACAATCTTAGAGAAAACGTCTGTTGGACGTTCTCCGTGAAGTGCTGTGGATTGAGCTAATTTAGCAACTGTAAGGTGCACGCTGTACCTTGGGTGGTCTAGTAGAACAACAAGGCATGAGAGTATTCTGTACCATGGGTACCATGGGCTTATGTGACTGTATAATATCTAACGTGTGTTTCCATTCAAAAAGGCAATGTTCATGTCTCAAATGTAATATCTTTTTGATATTTTTAAGATTTGTCATATTTTTTTTTCAGGAAAAAGAGACACCATGGGAAAATACAGCATAGGCGCCATTCTATGGGCGTACCGTTCCACCATCATAATGATAGCTACACCGCTACTTCTTTCACCAATTCCGATATACTTCAACGTGGCAGAACCGACCGTAAGTAATGAATAATGCTTCTTTCAAAACGTGAAAATATTACTTTTAATAATGTTGGAAAATACTGAAAAATAATTGAAAATCTACCTCGTATATTAATGAAATATTAATTTTTAGTTCAGAGTAAAATTTAGCATGTGACAAAGTGTAAGTAATAAGGTATCCTTCTTGTTTCAGTACTGGCGGGAAGCGAACTGTGCCTACATCCTGGCCATTATGGCAGTGTTTTGGATGACGGAAGTGATTCCTCTGGCCGCCACAGCGCTCTTCCCCGTAGTTTTCATGCCAATTTTCTCTGTCAGTACTTCGGCTAGAGTGTGCTCACAGTACCTTAAGGTCAGCAAACTCTGTGTCTCTGTAAAATGAATATGTATGTATGTATGTATGTATGTAATTGTGTGTGTATATGTGTGTGAATATGTACGTTGTGTCCTTATGTTCAAGACTTCGAAACACCGTTTGATCTACCCTGTTTGAGCAACATTCTAGATATATTCCTTATCTTCAATAAGCAGGATAAAACTCTTACATGAAAATTAATTTATATACTTCATCAAGAATTCTTTAAACTAAATATACTCTTGACGTTCGTTACAGGACACTAACATGCTATTTGTTGGAGGGCTGATGGTGGCTGTCGCAATTGAAAAGTGGAACCTCCACCGCCGCATTGCGTTAGGGGTGCTCATGATAGTGGGAACAACCCCGCGGTGGTAAGACTGTTACCATTGTAGAACACTCAGCGCCTCGTATTGGCGTTCGTAACTGTTTTATAGATCAAATACTTCAATGCCTTTGTTGGCTAAATAGAAAGACATCTTCATTTTCATCTGTCTAACCCTATACGGGGGCATACATGATGGCGTGGAATCTCGATTTAAGAAGGGGTATCAAACAGAATTTTTTTCTTCGCAGATATATTGTTTTGCTTCTAGAGAGATTGCCCAAAACGGTATTTTGAATAAAATTAGAACTTTTCAAGTTGTTTTCTGAAAGACATGCGAAAAGATAGAGCAAACAGTTTCAGTTTTTGAAAATACGGTAACAAATGCCCACCCACTATAATGGCAGGGTAATCATACTTTTATGATAAATAAAATTGATTGGATTTGCTTTTATCTCTGAACCAGGCTTATGTTGGGGTTCATGCTCCCTACTTGGTTCTTATCAATGTGGATCAGCAATACAGCTACGGCGGCCATGATGGTTCCGATAGTTCAAGCTGTACTGGTGCAGCTCAGGGAAACCACTGCTGAGGATACCGAGGAGAAAGAGCATCGCTCCTCAGGTATAAACAGAACGCCGTGCTATTGGCTAACCTACCTGTAGTGGTTTGGTTTATACATGCTGTTTTTTAAATTAACACTGGTTAGATGACACATTTATTTTTATTTTATTTTATTTTATTTTATTTTATTTTATTATTATTACTTTTTTTTATTTAATCGGAAAATTTGAACGACAAAATGCCAAGATAGAGTTCTAAAGTTAAAGAAAAATTTGCATAATGTAAAATAAAATAAAATAAAATAGGTGTCTACACGTACTTTGAAGCATTCATATATTTTTATAGTTGCTAATATAAAGCAAGCTGTCTAATCAGGGTTGTTTGATTTATGTAAGTAATCAATCTTATGTTAAAGGTGCTAGAAACGATAGCTAGGTCATTATTTTATAGGTTATGATAACCCTGCAATGGAATACGACAATGGGCAGGCTGTTACTACGTTCACTGAACCCGACGAGTAAGTTTTTTAAAAGTTAGAAAGCATACAGTAAATACTTGTATATAAGCGCCAAATATGGTTAAGATGCTTACACTGAAGACAATTGTTTTTAATCGCGGACGGATCTGAAGTAATTAGTAAATTCTCGGAACATGTACTCTATACCTGGCAGTATTTCCATGGTAACGTATATATGCTATAATATTTCCATAATAATTCAAACACTGTATGCATTTATATATTAAGTTACACCAGCAATCATTTTAGAAGTGTACATTTGTAGTTTTGCGTTTATTATTCTATTATTTTTACAAACTAAATGTAAAGGAGGTTTACTAATATTGTACATAATGAAGATAAAGAAGTTTAACTTAAGTGTAAATAAAAGAAGCTAACTGCGCAAAGGTTGTCAAATGATGACAATCAGTATTAGTAAACTATACTTACTTTGATAACAACGCCATAATACTGCATGTACGTCTATTCTAGATCTAAGGAAAATAATGGCGAAATCACCCCTAGCCCCTCAGTAGGTGGCAGCACTAATCACATTGAAGGCAACAAGGTTAGCGGCAGTAAGGCTACTTTGGTATCAGATGAATCCGATGAGCCGGAGGATCCTGCCTACAGTAAGCTGTGTAAAGGCATGTACCTGTGTATAGCCTATGCGGCAAGTATTGGTGGAATAGCCACACTAACTGGTACCCCACCGAATCTTGTGATGAAGGGACAGATAGACATGTAAGTTTGGATTTCTTGCCCCTTTACCTCTTTTTCTTTATTGCTGACATTTTTATTGCTCTCTTCTTTTTGCTCTTACCCCTTCTCATTTTTTTACATCTTTATTTTCTTCCATCAATAATTTAACCATATACCTCCCCGTTTTAATTCCATTTTTCTGACTTTTTTGTTTGTCGTATGTTTGCTGTCTCACTTTTGCTCTCAAAACTGGTGTCAAATCTCCATTTCAACAGACTAAAACATCCACATCTTTTCATTTTCCAGACTGTTCGAAAAATACAACGACAACACTAACACGAAGGTGACATTTGGTTCGTGGATGGTGTTTGCTCTACCTATATCTGTCATCTGCCTTGTGATAGCCTGGCTGTGGTTACAATTGCTTTTCTTATGCAGGATCGGGTAAGTAGCAGTGATGTTAAACGTCTTATTTTTCGATAGGAGAGGGGTTAGGACAGAGCAGAATAGGCAGCGTTATTGTGATATTAATTTTCACATTTTGAGGATATTACAACTAATATATGTTAAGGGAGCTTTATTCTTGCAAGTAAACCACGCACATGGTAGTAATGTTAACAGTACTGAAAGATACAGAAATGGATTGTTACATAAAAAAAAGTATATCACGCTGCTTTATGCTTTAAAGCAACGTTAATCGAATCGATATTCTCATTACGGCCAGGGGCTGCAAGCGGCAATCTAGAGATAAGAGCTACGAGATGGGTACAGGGGATACCCCGCAAAAGTAAGTTAAGAAAGAGATGTAGATATGAGAGAGAGAGAGAGAGAGAGAGAGAGAGAGAGAGAGAGAGTCTGAGAGAGAGAGAGATGTAGATATGAGAGAGAGAGAGAGAGAGTCTGAGAGAGAATTGAAATAAATGTCACGTGCCTTACGATCTTTCATTCATTTATTCGTTTTCATCCATAGTCAAGGTGCACTATGTTAGTTTTCACATGTTATTTCCACGATATTCCAGGGCAGATGAGAAAGACCAACAGAAAAGGGTAAAGTCTGTGATACGGAAAGAGTGGCAGAAAATGGGCAGATTGACGTAAGTGGACACGCACCGCTAACACACTTGTTTTGTATTAAAAAAAAGTACTATACTTTCTTTCCTTTTAAATTTTACATCTTACCGAAAATTTCAAACATTTTACAATTCAAAGGCAAGGCTAACTTTCTCACTTTTCAAGTAGCATGCACCTTACACTCCAAATGAATAAACAGTGCCAATGGAAAATCTTTGAAATCCTTTCAGACTTGCTGAATTGATACTGCTAATCATGTTTGTGATCCTCGCTGCCCTGTGGTTGTCACGTGCTCCTGGCCAGGTGGACGGATGGGGGAGTCTGTTCAAAGCCAAGTACGTTAATTTCAAAGGGCAAGGCTATAATATAAGAAATATTAATGTTTACCTATGTATTTTTTTTGTTATGTAATTGCTTTACTTTTCGGTTTGCGTACCATAAGAATAAATATTATACGAAATAAGAACAAGGTACTTTCAGATTTCATAACTTTAGCAACAGTGTATAAGTAGATAACAAACCATATAATAATAAATAATCAAACATTGTTCTTTTTAAAGGTATGTGTCTGACGCAACCCCAGCCATCTTAGTTGCGCTCCTTCTATTCATGTTGCCAGCCAAAGGACTGTGGTGCTTCTCCGGAAAGAAAGGTTGGATATCTTGGCAGCCTATCTATTCCACATATAAATTTGGTCGGCTTTGCCTTTATATTGCGCTGTACACGTTTTAAGTCGCCCTGTAATAATGTCGCATCGTTCTGCAGTTGCATTATCTATACTGTACATTGTTCTTTATAAGCTCTGTTTTTGTACTACCATTGTCCTGTGTTGTTAAATATTTGTGTTTCTTCTTAAAAAGATTTAAAAAATACTATTCAAAGTGTAATGAAACGCTTTGTTCGAATTCAGAATAGTTGCCTTGGTTACTTAATGGTTCTTTCGTCGCAATGTGCTCGTATTGTTCCAGACCAGAAAAAGCCCGGCCCTAGCCCTGCTCTTCTAGACTGGAAAACGGTGGAGAAGAATTTCCCGTGGGGGGTGGTCATTCTGCTGGGTGGAGGCTTTGCTTTGGCGGACTCCGCTCAGGTAGGATATGAAGATGCTAAAGATGGGAGCAGATATGGTAACCTTTGTGTGTATATGTGTGTAGGAAGGGAGTCCTGCGTCGCGCGGCTTAGTATGGGGAGCTTCAATGACGAAGGCAAAAGTTTGTGGGGGTTCCGCCTCCCCATAGGACCAAATTATTTCGTTTTGCTTGTATGCTTCATGCATACCCCCTCCCCTTATCGAGTCCTGCTCAAACAGAAGCAAGAATCAATTATATTAAAATGTAGATATTTACTTTCCTAGCAATCGGGACTCTCTAACCTCGTTGGAAAAGCATTTGAGGGCTTCGGAGATATCAACCCAGCAGCGATGGCCTTCGTTATAGCTGCGGTGATCGCAGGTGCCACAGAAGTGACCAGCAACACGGCCACCGCCACCTTACTTATACCTATCATTGGAGACCTGGTGGGTGACTTTGTATAAGATAAGAAAAAGATAAGAAAAAAATAAATAGGCCTACTGATCACTAAGAATTTGCATTATAAAATTTGTTTGGATATGAATGTTTGAATACGCTAAGAAAAATCTTCATATTTATTTCTTCAAAGAGGTTTATCATATATCCCATTTATCTACAGGCTATAGCCATAGGAATACACCCCCTGTATCTCATACTACCGACGACACTGGCGACATCTTTTGCCTTCATGTTGCCGGTTGCCACACCGCCGAATGCTATTGTGTTTGCGTACGGGGCACTCAGAGTGGTGGACATGGTAAGATACGACGTACTTTTACACACAGAACACTACATACCTTGTATAGCACACGTAGCCTGACATCCCCCCATTTCCACACCCTGTCACTGTCTCCGCTAACACAATACAGCTCTTATCTAATAGAGCACAAATGTCACATCTAAAACACAATCTGTCACATCTAACACATTGCATCTGTTTTCATTAAAAACATTATGTCAGTAGCATCTTGCACATCTTAAACACATTGCGTCTGTTTTGGTATCTCAGTGGATTAATATTTGTAAGAAATGATGATTAGAATATCTTACAAGATATTATCAGGGCTTTCAGTTTATACATGCCATACAGAAAAGCAGTATGACGCATCGGTTTTCAGACCTCAAATTTGAATATTTAACAATAGAAGTTATGCATGGATTTATTTGGACATTTTATATATTTTCAGGTTCTTGCGGGTATCGGAATGAACATCATATGTCTTGGTGTGGTGGCACTGGCCCTGAACACGTGGGGCACGGCGTGGTTTCAGCTGGATGTGCTGCCAGCATTCATGCAGAATGCGACAATTATCTCAACTACCACAATCTTACCAAACACAACTGTGGCACCTCCTTTGAACTGTACCTGTCCTTGAGCAACAGATACAGACTTAAAATATTTTTTATATCAGATTTAAAGATGACTTTTATATGATCGAAGATGTTGACGTTTTAAACTTTATTCACATGCCAGTGAATTGCACATATTCATCTCACACAAAAAAGATTGAATAGAATGCACAGGGGAGTTTTTTATTTAAAAAACATCATTCAAATTATGAATATGTTCTACATGTACATGTAGCCTGATAAAGGTTTTTGAAATTCCTATTGTGAAGATGTATGCGATATCCTTAAATTCCAACGCACCCATTTCAATACAAAGGTTACTTAATGNCTAGAAAAAATGGCACGGCAGCAGAAGGGACAAATCCGGGGTGGGGTGTTATCACACGGCTGGGTACCTGACGTAGGTCTGAAGTCCATGTACATGCTTAACAAAGAAAGGGGTAAAAATACAAGTAAGATGGCGATTCACGATATTCATTACGAAAAGTTATCAAAATTAATTTAGTCACTGAACACTGAAGATTTATTTATTACCCAAAAGAATGTATGTAAGTCAGTAAATATAGCGTTTTGGGCGTACGGTGATAATATCCTTAAGTGCAATTTTGATTTAAATTTCATAACTATTTTTCTGTCCAGTGTGGCGCTATCGCGAGTCACATCTTTTCCCATAACGCAACATTTTCCAAACCAGTGAACCACCATGTCACACCTAATGCATCCATCGGGTGATTGTGATCACGTGCTTTTGTGTTATTATCACGGTGCGTTGTGTTGAAACGCTGTCACACTTTTAAGTTAAAAGTTCAGTCAAAAATGAACTACATTACGGAGTAGGCTCTGCTTTTTATTTAAAATTCACGATTTATTCGTTCCTACTATGGTTCACGTATGGTATTTTATATAAAAGCACATAACATAAAATATCCTTGCAATGTATAAAGTATACATTAAACAAAACGATGACATGAAATGATATTTAAAACCCTAAGATGATAACTGTATTGCACCTTTAAAAAATCGCAAAAAGATATAAGGCTTAAACCTATATTCTTAAAAATATTTCTGTTAGTCTGATTCATTTCGTTTGGTCTCACTATTAACTCACTATAAAATCACAGTCACAAGGTAAAAAAGTTATGTCACATCTAAAAAGTATTGGAATGTGTCAACAGCAAAAGTTCTTTCACAAATATTAATATAATATACTAATGTATTCATTTAGTAGCTGTGTTTTAATTTGAAAACTGTAAAGGGTTTCTCGCTGTTTTAAAAGGCCCACTATTAGGTCTCCTGGGAGAGGTGCTAAAACCCGATGACACAGTAGGCTTCGTATCAACAATTCTATTGTCAAGTGTCACCTTGTCTCCTGTCACATCAACTAACTTCATGTTAGAAATGTCCTGTAGGCTATTAATACACCTGGGTGATGACATCCCATACGTAATTGTTGAAACAGAGTGCAGCACACTTTCGTGTGACAAAGTTTCAATTGGTGAAGTATCTTTGGCTTGTTCAGAGGATACAACGTTCACAAGATGCTGAGCAGTTCCATATTTATTCTGCTGTGGTGTATTTGGGGATGTAGGTCCAACAAAACTTTCTGAAAAGGGGCTTCTTGCATTCTTTAGTCTTGCAGTTTCCAAAGAAACCTCAGGCTTCATTTTCACTTTATAAGATTCACAGCCAGGATAAGTTTTTGACTCAGTAAAACTTTTATTTTCAGGACTTGTTGGTAAAGAAGCACAACCATCACTACCAGGGTGTCTACCAGTCTTGAGTGTGTCCCTCCACGCTGTCCTGTGAGACAGAGAGCCAGGGGATACATCTTGGTCCAACTGGGACTCAGATACTGTTTGAGCTGGACTTTTCACTTCGAAACTTAGCCGTGTCTGTGCGTTTTCTGTCTTCTGTCCAGTTTCCCGTTTTATTTTCTGGGCAGAAGGTTGCCTGGATTTCTTCTTGCCTGATTTATGACCCAAGCTTGTTGGCCCTGCTTTAGAAGTTGTGCTGTAAGAGGATTATAAATTATCCCATGGATAACATTGAATTGTAAACATGCTATATCTCAGCTAACAATTTTGCAAGAAAGTTCTCGATTTATGTAAGCCATAAGCAGTAATATCTAGAGATTTTTTTATACGTGAATGTCTATTTTTTTCACTGATTTGATCTCTTGTTTTATATCAAAGGGGTATTCATACTTGGCAAAATTATTTGTATGTTAGTCTAAATTCCACATTTACAATTACCTTTCTGAACAACAACTACTCAGTGTCGCTATTCATTTTTCCTTTTCTTCCCACTATCCCAATAAGAAACTTTTTCCAATTTTTTCTTTTTGCCTTACCATTCTTGCAGTAACTCTTCCAGCCCTGCAATGTCCAGGGAGAATGGTTCTCCTTCTGTTGCATCAGCAGTAAATACACAGGGCTGAAGCTTTTCCATTCCAGCAACTAATTTGTTCCATTTCTTGTTGCCATCAACTTGACCAGCACCTAAATACAAAAGTTTAAATTTGTGGATTACTGGCTAATGTTTTACATTTATGATTCAGAGATTTAAGTGGCTCTTTTTAAAAAATTCTGAAAAATTTAAGTCCTGAAGTTGCACAAGGGTACAGTGGGGAGGGGAAGGCAAAAATTCACCACCTAAATATACCAATATATTGAGAGTACTTTTATCTCTAACCACTAAGTTTTCAAAACTATGTCCACAGACGTCTTAGGTCTTTCAGTATACTTCATTCCCCTTATCTTTGCAGGCCCACAACCAGCAATTTCAAAGGCAATTTTTTTTTTTTTTTTGAAAAAGGTGACCTTTTACCATGAAACCTTCATGTACCTAGATAAAATTTTACCAAAGGGGACCTTTTACCGGAAAAAGGCAGTTCAATTGAATGCCCAGGACATCTCCCCCTCCCCGCTACAAAACTGATCTCTCCCACCTAACCCTACCACTTGAAAAGTTAAAATTAAATTCACAAAAAAAGAAAAAAAAGGAGCAATAACATTCACACCATATTCTTCACTACATCACCTCTGACATCTGTATCCATCATCCTGGTGCTAGTTTGCATGTTTGCGTTCTTCATGAAGGACTTGACGTAGGCGACATGATCCCCGCTACATGGCTGTAGAACACACTGCCTTAGCTGCCACAGCTGGAGAAGGTCCTCGGCTTGGTCAATCTTAGCTTTGTAACTGTCCTTTTTAGTCAGGATGGACTCTATAAAGGATAATCATTTATACAGCAGAGGCTTACATTATGTATGCAGATAGCAAGATAATTAAAGAAAATATGAAATAAAAAATATGCTTTGAGGAAGACAGATGTATATCATCTGCTGTACTACAGTGTAGATCTGAAGTGATTTGTTCTTGTAAGTTTTTAATTTTCTCTGCATAAGACAAACTTCCCTTCATGCTTCACAGCCACAGGTCCATGTAACCTTTATCTCTTTCTCAATCAACTTTTAAAAAAGGTAGTTTTCTAATAATGAATACCAACAACAATCTACTATTGTCATCTATGTTCCTCATTGCTATTGTTATGTCAGTGGTTTAACTCTGTCAAAACTTTATATTTTTACTTTGTGTATTATTTCTGCTGTTCTGTTCCACCATGTTGGGCTCCTCCACTTTAAGGCGGCGTCCTCTCCAAGACACTCCATTCACCTCCTTGACAGCACGAAGAGCACTGGCCTTCTCAATAAATCTGACAAAACTGAAATAAGTGCAATCATAAAAATTAAAATTTAATTAAATTTTTTATAAATAATTTGAAAAAAAAAAACTATAATAAAGTAACTTGAGAAGCCGGTTGTTTGAGAGACCATATCCTCTTTTTTCTGTTTGTACTAACTTAAGTGCATATTTGATGACATATATCATACATATAAAATATAACACAAGCATAAAGTCAAACTACTTCCAGTACATTACATCTTCTTTTAACCAAACAGAAACAATACTAGCAGATTTGATACCAATCCTGAAATTACAGTACATACAAATTTATTTATCTTCAGGTGTCTTTGCAGCTGATGCTTCATAAATTATATTTACAAAATTGAGTTTTTTTACCATATATAGAATACTACCCAAATTTGGATTCCTGGTTGTCACTAGCTTTTTGTAGGAATACTTCTCTTGGGGTGGCAATGTTCTTTTTGAACAATTCAAAAACATCTTCCTAAAAAGGCATAATTGTAAGTAATACTGTCCTCCATGGAATAAGTAACAAGAACCTGTTCATCTAAAACATGATAATTTGAAATATAGCTCTGCAATTCATATGTACATTAATTTTAACTATCTAACACAATAAGTATTGTTTCTTCTAAATGATGAAGAAGATGAATTTATATTATTTATAATTGATTTTATGTATGTATATATCAACTATTTTAGTAGTCAGACCAAATCTTCTTCGGTTCTAATCCAATTAGAGTTAACATACTATTTAATTAAAGTCACCTTTCCAGCAGCAATGGGTAAGTTTCCAACATAAACTGTGTGCAGCTTTTTCCTTTCTTCTGATGTCAGTATTGGACTGCCTGGGCCTGCATATGGCAATGAAAAATAAATATATGAATAGACTTGTGGGGCTGTGTGTATGTGTGCGTGTGTGTGCGCGCGCGCAAGGTGGGGGGGGGGGAGATGTCCCTTTTTCTAAAACGGATTCAGCACTAGCCCTAATTCAAGTTCTAGAGAGAGAGAGAGAGAGAGAGAGAGAGAGAGAGAGAGAGAGAGAGAGAGAGTTACATTTCCTCCGCTCGCCAACGTTATTCAATGTGTTTTGGTTTTCAGGAAATTCCCCTTCATCTCGGTCGATCATGATCCTCTGCAGAGCTACAACTTCGATCCAAATAGCCCTATCACCATAGATCTAAATTCATTAATGAATTCGTCCTCATTGAAGACAGGGGTGAAAAAGACAACAATGCATTTGGAGGTTACTGGCTCAAGCTCGTAGGCAAGTCCTATCAGTTTACAAGATGGCCGCCTTATGTCATTATATGGCAGGTCATAGGTGTCATCTCGGGTTAGAGGGCTTTACACCTAAATTCTCCTTTCATTAAAAGTTTGGTAGAAAATATCTAATTTGAATGTCTGTTATAAAATCACCTAAATGACATTGTATCGGTACGTCTGATGAAATCCATATGTATAATAGCAAAAAAAAAAAAAAAAAAAAAAAAAAAAAACTAAAAGTTCACTGAAGAGGGGAAATATTAAATCTGATAGGATAAAAACAGGTCTGTTAAACGATAATGGCCTTTTTTTATCTTGACTTCAAATGCCGAATTAAAAACATTGCGGTGGTGGTGGTGGTGGTGGGGAGAGAAGTTAATACCTTCAAATATGTAATAACGCAAATGTTACAAGTCTCATCCAACGCATTGCTGCAGAATACAGTACAAGTGCAACAAATGTCGGTAGCCTACACAGTGTTGCATTGCCTTCTTTTCTTGCCAATATCAAAGACTGGGTGAAATTCGCACTCCAGCCACTTGGGGTTCATTGTATTGTAATTTCAACTATCTCAATATAACCCAAAGTATTCAATGCGGAAATAATGAGTTTAAAAAATCTTAGTCATCCTGCAGTTAGGCAGTGGTGGGGCATGTTCCATTATGTCCCCACGCATGAAAGAATGAAAATGATATTCATAAACACAGGTTGATGTAATCTATAACATCATGCCACAGACAAAGTAAATGTACGTATGACATACCACGCCTTACTTTTTGTTCTTAAAAACCTGTGCAGGCGACTATAGATGGGATGAACGTATACCCTCTATCACAGATTGATTTTTCCCTAGATATTCATAGATATACCTGTAGTTAAATTGACGGTTAGTCTCCGAACTGTACTCCGCGTTAGAGAAAATATCCACATAATAATAACCGCGGCCCTGGTAGAGGGTAGGGTCAGCCACTATTCAGGTTGTTGATGCGGTATATACTTAGTGATTTTCACTTGTGAATAAAATATCGTTTTATCTTAAGTGTACAAAACTCAAGAACTTGATGTAGTACTCGAATACATCTTAAATTCATATTTATATCTGATAAAGGAAGACACTTGTTCCGAAAACTGCAGTAAACACCACCCCGAGTCCCCATGTACTGGTGCTGATAAGCACATAAAATGGAGCACTTCTCGTAGACCATGACAAGGCCGCACCGATAACCTCAGACGTAAAAATAATATGTAAACATAAACAAGGATGCAAAAAAGAAATGATTGCTTTGCGCGTCATTTCGTTTTACCACCACGCCGACGGATCCGGGGGCTTGGATACCTGTTATTCACAGCCGCGCGTTTGATGAATCACGCTTAAATGGTATAATAGTGCCGCATTTAGGATATTTAAAACCTCAGTTTTATGACACAACATTGCCTATTCAAGCAACTATTGTTGTTGTTGTTGTTGTTGTTTTTCTGTCTTCTCATTACGCAAGATAGAAACTTTTTTAGCTTGCTTATAGTCAGAATCGATTTCTTTATTTACTTAAGTGTCCCCGTTCAAGGTACCATACTATTCCAGCAATTGTTAACAGACAAAAAACGCTCAAAGCAGAGTCGTGACCTTATTCGTCTCAGTTGCCATCCAGGTGGGTTGAAAACGGGTCACAGGTATAACAAGAAAAAATACATACTGACTTATCATAGCGTAGTCACCGCCACGGTACTGAGCTGCTCACGCCTTAAGAGTGGGGATTATTTGTAAATAAGGTAAGTGGTATTGACTGTACAAAATCAAGATAATAGTTAGTTGTTCATTAACCCAAAAAGTAGGAAGCGCTGTGTGTAAGTTTCATGTGTGCCTTACTAAGGAGTGCTGTACGGTACGGCCCATATCATTTTTTTACGTTGATTGCAGAAGTTTCGTTCCGTGACGAAAGAAAATCATGAGAAAACAATGTTGAGCAAAAAATTCTTATCCACGATGTTCTAATTATTTACAAATATTTCACTGGTAAGGATGTTGATAAATTAGGAGGTCATGGACCAGTCGTCGTACAGAGGGGCGAGACTTGCACCACTCTGCAACGCACTACTGGTCTTAAACCTGGACAATGGAAGGACCTCCATTCTGTGCTCAAAAAGTGGGAATTACTAACATGTACACCGCCCTTTTCATGGATATCATATTTCATATCACAGGTTATACTGGGACAAGATACCTAGATCCCGATCTATGATGTGAAATGTTATGATGTAAAATTCATTCTGGTTTCTGGAATATAGTTGTTACAGTTTCTTTTATCATGTACAGATTTTAGTGAATAAAAAAGGTGATGAGGCGACCTTAAAGGATTTCAACTGAATTCCACATGTGGATCGGGTGTGAAAGAGCCATCTTGGAGTCACCTTATTACTTTACATCTTTAGAAAAAAGCACACCTAGCTGTGTTTGGACATGTCACGCATCCAAATAACGACACACCGCGGGGTAGCATAACGTGGCTCAAATCATAGCAATGGCACACATTTTATTTAGACACTCACAAGACACTTAAATCCCAGTAGTATTATTATACCCTCTACCAGGGCCGCAGATTTCACTATTTTCATTACTTTTCTCTGACGCGAAGTGCAGAAAAAGTTCCATCATTTAACTAGAGACATATCTAGCGAGAAATCAAACTGTGACCCTCCTGATAGAAGGAAGTGTGACCATGTCCTGTCATTTTGGGCTTAACGAAATGAAAAAAAAAAAACTCTGCTGCGTGCACATATAAGTCAGGATATGTTCAGGATACCGTGATGCACGAGCCAGTGACGAAGTTGATAATATCAGTCATACTGTAAAGAAATTACAACATTGATTTTTTATACAAGAAAGACAGGTCATGCTTGAAAGAAGTGCACTCGTAAGGAGCATAGTCTTGCGTCTTTGGTGGGGGTAGGGGGAGGGAGTACAGTTTACGTTGTCGATAAAATTATATCCAAGAAAGGCTGCATAAGCGAAATAATCCACAATTCAATGATACGTATGAGTTTTTGGAAGATAAATTTTATTCCAATGCATGGCATTTTTGCGTTGAGATCCTGATCATTTCATCTTGCATAGCGGGCCAAATATTGTCCTACTATTTTAAACTGTTAGAACTTCCTCTAGCGAATCACTTCTGTCACGAAATGCAGGGTAAACATACTTCAGCATATTTCTGTTCAGTCGTATACCAGTAGCTCTACTGTTCGTTATAGGTAAATATAGACCCCGAAAGGTCACCCTTTAAGTAAATCAACATTGCACCATGATGTGACTTGAATCATTGATAGTAAAATCACATCAAACTCAGGTAGGCTGACATAGGTGAAATGACTCTTGTGAGCTATTCTATCAATGCACAGTTTTTTAAATCTTTTATTGAAAGCATTATTGCGGGGTTGAATACATATTATTACCATGACCAGAGGAACCCAACACGACACCTTGCCTGGCAAAATTAGTTTTAAATATGTGATTAGCCTGCGACTGTTCGCAAGGATTTTAATGATAATATCCTTATTAACAAGTTTTCATTGTCCTACTGTATATTACTGCTCAATTGCAAAGCTTTTTCTCGAACTTTATTTGATATCTCAACAATACGATAATACGAGCTTTATAAATACTCAAGTAAAAATGCTACATATTTGACTAATGCCATTTTCTTCTATTCAAACAAAATATTTTTAGATCCTAGATTTGCGCTATAAGGCGTTAAAACTACACGTACCTGAATTAAAGAATACATACATGTATCAATTTCAAAATTTCAGTTGCAAAATTGAAAGTATTATGATCATCAGAAAAATCACGTCACGTCACAAAAATAGAAGATAATGAACTATTAATACAAAAAAGTGAACATTTTAAAGTGAAAATATAAAAAATAACATGTCTTTCACGTGATAAACGGCATGGTATTTTATTGCTGAACTACGTGAATGTCACACTAACTGTCATTTACCACTTTAAAGCCACTTCAGATTACCTTGTTTTACTTTCTTTATATAATCACTGCCAACGGCAATAGTTCTTGCGGTAATGTGGTGACAGCTGAGGGGGCGGCGTCAGACGACGAAAATGCCTAAATCTAAAGTCCCTTTTACTGATTAATTTTAGAAATGTAAATGTATGCGTAAGAACAAAATATTCTGGAAAGCATTTTACATGCTTAGACTTTATTTAAATTCAGGTTTACGTAATTAAGGCTGACGTAAACTGCGGTTGTGAGCTTCTTTTGTTAAGTCAAACTTAATGTCTGACAAAGTCATTAATAAAAGCTGTACTAATTGTGGGTGCATCTCCTCGGTGAATGAAAGAGTTCAAAAAGTACACAAGTAGTTTAGTCAGCATTTCTTGAGTACACTGTTACACTATATCCAGTATTACCTTTTACAGTAAAGAATAAGAATATACAATGAAAATTAGGATAAAGAGGAAAATTAGAGAAAAAAAGTGAGAAGGATGATTAATATTTTAACATTGGCACTCATAATTTAAATGTTCTTAAATTTACTGAATTTAGGATCTATAAGATTCTCTAATTGAAAACGGCGACACCACGTACAGCCAAAGTAACACGAGAGACATATTTTCGGTTTATTTTTCCCCGATTAATACGGATCAGTGAATTATCCAAGGTAAATCCTTCTCACACATTGTACTTATCACATTTTTATCATTTTATTGGTTTCACTGCGTTGTAGACTAGTGTCTTCTTTCGTCTTATTGTTCATATACTTGTAAATGATACATGTACCGGTGCGTTAGTAAATGCGTAAATATGTCAGTAAATACGCCTTTGGAAACAGGGAGTGCTAATATCTACACAAAACAACTTAAAATGTTTAAAAGATGGACATAAAATTCTATTTATATATATATATATATATATATATATAGAGAGAGAGAGAGAGAGAGAGAGAGACGTCAGTTAATGCCCCATGCCTCGCTCCTTGCAGTAAACAAGTGCACGCGCATTGTTCTCCACTATATACTATTACCTGATACAAAAAACATTCACCTTGACATGCTTTGTTATTGACGAAAAACCTGGGACATGACTCAGAATGCCTGGGTAAAGTCAATTACATTCAATATGAATTTTTTCTGTCTACATTATCATCGTTAAGCTGTCTGAACACACACCAAAAAACGCAATACTGCGATATTTTATGCATGTATTGTTGTTTGCGGTATAGATGTCAGACAGAAGGGAGTATGAAAGGACAGAGCACTGTGTGCTGAAAAATAGAGTCCTGTCCAAATAAACAGTGGAAAACGAGGATCACGAAAGTGCATGGTGACAGTGTTTAAAAAAAGAACTTATTTATTTTTTTTACTCCCTGTTATGAATGTCACTGCGTTCAATAGATACGCAAAGTATGAGGTGTCATACTCAAATTTATTGGCTTTTCTGAAAGGATGGGATAAAAAAGGTTGTCTGTGGCCCTGTATATTGTGTCCAACTCTTGGTCATGTTGTCAAATATTTGTGTTATCATTTCGATATGCTAAAATTAATTTGCGCTTCCGATAAAATAATTTTGGTAAGTACCGTATAATAGCCTCGTTATCTACTAAATAAACGTAAAAAAAGCTGACAGTCAAAATATTGAAAACCTCAAAATTTAGACAAATTGCATATTTTCCTTTAACATCGTTTTTACAAGTGTGTATGAAAAGTTTCCAAATTGATATCTTAGCAAGAAATTGTATGGGAATCTTTGGGCCCCTCCCTCTGACGCTAAGCAAAGATATTTACTCATGATCAAATTTAATGAACTTGAACTGTATTGAGAGTAGGCCTGGTTTTTACACAAGATTGCCTTTACGTCATCCATAATGTAATAGAGCGCGTTATATTAATCATATAATAAACAAAATATATCGAATGTTGATCCAAATGAAAGGCATTAAAACCCAGGTGGAATGCGGTAACAATACCCTTAACTCTACAAATTTGAAAAGCTTACTAAGTATAATGCATGTATGTGAAAGGAAGAAGCATTGCAACCTTTAACGGCAATACACTCGCTGTATTATAGTAACAACTGCTATTCACAAAACATTCAGAGTACGCGTGCTCTATGTGCTGACGGGATACACGATTCAGGAACGACAATCTTAGAGAAAACGTCTGTTGGACGTTCTCCGTGAAGTGCTGTGAATTGAGCTAATTTAGCAACTGTTATTTGCACGCTGTACCTTGGGTAGTCTAGTAGAACAACAAGGTATGAGAGTATTCTGTACCATGGGTACCATAGGCTTATGTGACTGTATAATATCTAACGTGTGTTTCCATTCAAAAAGGCAATGTTCATGTCTCAAATGTAATATCTTTTAAATATTTTAAAGATTTGTCATATTTTTTTTTTCAGGAAAAAGAGACACCATGGCAAAATACAGCATAGGCGCCATTATATGGGCGTACCGTTCCACCATTATTATGATAGCTACACCGCTACTTCTTTCACCAATTCCGATATACTTCAACGTTGCGGAACCGACCGTAAGTAATAGATAATACTTCTTTCAAAACGTAAAAATATTATCTTTAATAATGTTGGAAAATATTGAAAAATAATTGAAAAATGATTGAAAAATCTACCTCGTATATTAATAAAATTTAATTTTTAGTTCAGAGTAAAATTAAGCATGGGACAAACTGTAAGTAATAAGATATACCTCTTGTTTCAGTACTGGCGGGAAGCGAACTGTGCCTACATCCTGGCCATTATGGCAGTGTTTTGGATGACAGAAGTGATTCCTCTGGCCGCCACAGCGCTCTTCCCCGTAGTTTTCATGCCAATTTTCTCTGTCAGTACTTCGGCTAGAGTGTGCTCACAGTACCTTAAGGTCAGCAAACTGTGTGTTTCTGTAAAATGAATATGTATGTATGTATGTATGTATGTATGTATGTATGTAATTGTGTGTATATGTGTGTGAATATGTACGCTGTGTCCTTATGTTCAAGACTTTGAAACACCGTTTGATCTTTCCTGTTTGAGCAACATTCAAATATATATTCCTTATCTTCAACAAGCAAGATAAATATCTTACATGAAAATTCCTTTCTAAACTACAGCAAGAATCATTTGAACTAAATATACTCTTGGTGTTCGTTACAGGACACTAACATGCTATTTGTTGGAGGGCTCATGGTGGCTGTCGCAATTGAAAAGTGGAATCTCCACCGCCGCATTGCGTTAGGGGTGCTCATGATAGTGGGAACAACGCCACGGTGGTAAGACTGTTACCATTGTAGAACACTCAGCGCCTCTTATTGGCGTTCGTAACTGTTTTATAGATCAAATACTTCAATGCCTTTGTTGGCTAAATAGAAAGACATCTTCATTTTCATCTGGCGTGGAATCTCGATTTAAGAAGGGGTATCAAACAGAATTTTTTCTTCGCAGATATACTGAACAAAAATATAAACGCACGAAAGAATATGTAGATATATTTTCATATATGGAACTAGAGTATATAGCCAAAAATAACAGCATATTTTTTTCTCGACAAATAGACATCACTTTGAGAGCCTTAGGGGAAGTTTAAAGCATAGTCCAAGAGTTAGGGCATCAAATACACCATGGGGGTCAACATCCTGAGTTCACAGACACCATTAAATTTGTGCAGAGCAGTACACCAGCGGCGCATGGACATCACTGATTTGTCAATAGAGGCCTAATGGATATTATCCCATTCCTCCTGGAGTGCTTCTTGCAGTTGGCGAACATTTTCGAGAGCTGGAACATAATGGCTGAAAACTCTGATCCAGAACATTCCACAGGTGTTTGTTGGGCGACATGATGCATGAGGGTGGTTCCTAATGCTACCAGTGTCTCTGAAGCGTGTTCCCAGACGGCTGACAGTGGAATGATGCACATTCAGACATGCTGCAACTTCTGTTATTGACAAGCCAGCATTGAGCATGCTGATGGCATGCTCCCTCATGGTTCCAGTTGTCTGTGGCATGTTGACAAGTGGCAGAAATACACATTTTGGTGTGTCCTTTTATTGCCTAGACGGTAAAGAGTGTCTGTGTATTGGTCTTGCAGATTGACCTCTACTCCGTCATGCTCCATTATTCTTATGGGTGTAAAAACTGAACCTTTGAGAATACTCACGGGGAGCGGCCAAGTGAAACCGGACCACTGTAATTGATCAAAACAAATCCATCAGTTCACAAATAAACCATCAACCTGGGCATATTTCATGGTTATCCATTGCAACTGACCATTTTAGTTTCGTGCGTTTATATTTTTGTTCAGTATATATTGTTTTGCTTCTAGAGAGATTGCTCAAAACGGTATTTTGAATAAAATTAGCACTTTTAAAGTTGTTTTCTGAAAGACATGCGAAAAGATAGAGCAAACAGTTTCAGTTTTTTAAAATACGGTAACAAATGCCCACCCACTATAATGGCAGGGTAATCATACTTCTATGATAAATAAAATTGATTGGATTTGCTTTTATCTCTGAACCAGGCTTATGTTGGGGTTCATGCTCCCTACTTGGTTCTTATCAATGTGGATCAGCAATACAGCTACGGCGGCCATGATGGTTCCTATAGTTCAAGCTGTACTGATGCAGCTTAGGGAAACCACTGCTGAGGATACCGAGGAGAAAGAGCATCGCTCCTCAGGTATAAACAGAACGCCGTGCTATTGGCTAACCTACCTGTAGTGGTTTGGTTTATACATGCTGTTTTTTAAATTAACACTGGTTAGATGACACATTTCTTTTTATTTTATTTTATTTTATTATTATAACTTTTTTTATTTAATCGGAAAATTTGAACGACAAAATGCCAAGATAGAGTTCTAAAGTTAAAGAAAAATTTGCATAATGTAAAAAAAAATAATAATAAAATAGGTGTCTACAAGTACTTTTAAGCATTCATATATTTTTATAGTTGCTAATATAAAGCAAGCTGTCTCATCAGGGTTGTTTGATTTATGTAAGTAATCAATCTTATGTTAAAGGTGCTAGTAACGATAGCTAGGTCATTATTTTACAGGTTATGATAACCCTGCAATGGAATACGACAATGGGCAGGCTGTTACTACGTTCACTGAACCCGACGAGTAAGTTTTTTAAAAGTTAGAAAGCATACAGTAAATACTTGTATATAAGCGCCAAATATGGTTAAGATGCTTACACTGAAGACAATTGTTTTTAATCGCGGACGGATCTGAAGTAATTAGTAAATTCTCGGAACATGTACTCTATACCTGGCAGTATTTCCATGGTAACGTATATATGCTATAATATTTCCATAATAATTCAAACACTGTATGCATTTATATATTAAGTTACACCAGCAATCATTTTAGAAGTGTACATTTGTAGTTTTGCGTTTATTATTCTTTTATTTTTACAAACTAAATGTAAAGGAGGTTTACTAGTATTGTACATAATGAAGATAAAGAAGTTTAACTTAAGTGTAAATAAAAGAAGCTAACTGAGCAAAGGTTGTCAAATGATGTCAATCAGTATTAGTAAACTATACTTACTTTGATAACAACGCCATAATACTGCATGTACGTCTATTCTAGATCTAAGGAAAATAATGGCGAAATCACCCCTAGCCCCTCAGTAGGTGGCAGCACTAATCACATTGAAGGCAACAAGGTTAGCGGCAGTAAGGCTACTTTGGTATCAGATGAATCCGATGAGCCGGAGGATCCTGCCTACAGTAAGCTGTGTAAAGGCATGTACCTGTGTATAGCCTATGCGGCAAGTATTGGTGGAATAGCCACACTAACTGGTACCCCACCGAATCTTGTGATGAAGGGACAGATAGACATGTAAGTTTGGATTTCTTGCCCCTTTACCTCTTTTTCTTTATTGCTGACTTTTTTTTTTTTTTTTTTTGCTCTTTCCCCTTCTCATATTTTTACATCTTTATTTTCTTCAATCAATAATTTTACAATATATATATAGGCCTATCTCCCCATTTTAATTCCATTTTTCTGACTTTTTTGTTTGTCGTATGTTTGCTGTCTCACTTTTGCTCTCAAAACTGGTGTCAAATCTCCATTTCAACAGACTAAAACATCCACATCTTTTCGTTTTCCAGACTTTTCGAAAAATACAACGACAACACTAACACGAAGGTTACATTTGGTTCGTGGATGGTGTTTGCTCTACCTATATCTGTGATCTGCCTTGTCATAGCCTGGTTGTGGTTACAATTGCTTTTCTTATGCAGGATCGGGTAAGTAGCAGTGATGTTAAACGTCTTATTTTTCGATAGGAGAGGGGTTAGGACAGAGCAGAATGGGCAACATGATTGTGAAGTTAATTTTTTCACATTTTGAGGATATAACAACTGATATATGTTAAAGGAGATTTATTCTTGCAAGTAAACTACGCACAGCACTTGGTAGTAATGTTAACAGCACTGAAAGATACAGAAATGGATTGTTACATAAAAAAGTATATCACGCTGCTTTATGCTTTAAAGCAACGGTAATCGAATCGATATTCTCATTATGACCAGGGGCTGCAAGCGGCAATCTAGAGATAAGAGCTACGAGATGGGTACAGGGGATACCCCGCAAAAGTAAGTTAAGAAAGAGATGTAGATACGAGAGAGAGAGAGAGAGAGAGAGAGAGAGAGAGAGAGAGTCTGAGAGAGAATTGAAATAAATATCAGGTGCCTTACGATCTTTCATTCACTCATTCGTTTTCATCCATAGTCAAGGTGCACTATGATAGTTTTCACATGATTTTTCCACGATATTCCAGGGCAGATGAGAAAGACCAACAGAAAAGGGTAAAGTCCGTGATACGGAAAGAGTGGCAGAAAATGGGCAGATTGACGTAAGTGGACACGCACCGCTAACACACTTGTTCTGTATTTAAAAAAATCACTATGCTTTCTTTTCTTTTACATTTAACATCTTACAGAAATTTTTAAAACATTTTACAATTCAAAGGCAAGGCTAACTTTCTCACTTTTCAAGTAGCATGCACCTTACACTCCAAATGAATAAACAGTGACAATGGAAAATCTTTGCAATCCTTTCAGACTTGCTGAATTGATACTGCTGATCATGTTTGTGATCCTCGCTGCCCTGTGGTTGTCACGTGCTCCTGGTCAAGTGGACGGTTGGGGAAGCCTGTTCAAAGCCAAGTACGTTTATTTCAAAGGGCAAGACTATAATATAAGAAATATTAATGTTTACCTATGTATTTTTTGTTATGTAATTGCTTTACTTTTCGGTTTGCGTACCATACGAATAAATATTATATGAAATAAGAACAAGGTACTCTCAAATTTCATAATTTTTGGCAACAGTGTATAAATAGATAATAAACCATATAATAATTAAAAATCAAATATTCGTGTTTGTTTTAAAGGTATGTGTCTGACGCAACCCCAGCCATCTTAGTTGCGCTCCTTCTATTCATGTTGCCAGCCAAAGGACTGTGGTGCTTCTCCGGAAAGAAAGGTAAGCAATTTGTGCAGCCTATCTATTTCACCTAATATAAAATTGGTCGGCTTTGCCTTTATATTGCGCTGTACCAGTTTCAAGTTGCCCTGAAATGCTGTCGCATGGTTCTGCAGTTATATTATCTATACTGTACATTGTTCTTTATAAGCACTGTTTTTGTACTACCGCTGTCCTGTGTTGTTTAATATTTGTGTCTCTTTGAAGTGGATATTTGATCTTTGTTTTTATTTGAAAAGATTTTTAAAATACTATTCAAAGTGTAATGAAACGCTTTGTTCGAATTCAGAATAGTTGCCTTGGTTACTTTATGGTCCTTTCCTCGCAATTTCCTCCTCTTGTTCCAGACCAGAAAAAGCCCGGTCCTAGCCCTGCTCTTCTAGACTGGAAAACGGTGGAGAAGAATTTCCCGTGGGGGGTGGTCATTCTGCTGGGTGGAGGCTTTGCTTTGGCGGACTCCGCTCAGGTAGGATATGAAGATGCTAAAGAAGGGAGCAGAAATGGTAACCTTTGTGTGTATGTGTGTAGGAAGGGGGTCCTGCGTCGCGCGGCTTAGTATGGGGAGCTTCAATGACGAAGGCAAAAGATTGTGGGGGTTCCGCCTCCCCGTAGGACCAAATTATTTCGTTTTGCTTGTATGCTTCATGCATACCCCCCCCCCTCCCCTTATCGAGTCCTGCTCAAACAGAAGGAAGAATCAATTATATTAAAATAAAGATATTTACTTCCCTAGCAATCGGGACTCTCTAACCTCGTTGGGAAAGCATTTGAGGGCTTCGGAGATATCAACCCAGCAGCGATGGCCTTCGTTATAGCTGCGGTGATCGCAGGTGCCACAGAAGTGACCAGCAACACGGCCACCGCCACCTTACTTATACCTATCATTGGAGACCTGGTGGGTGACTTTGTATAAGATAAGAAAAAGATAAGAAAAAAATAAATAGGCCTACTGATCACTAAGAATTTGCATTATAAAATTTGTTTGGATATGAATGTTTGAATACACTAAGAAAAATCTTCACATTTATTTCTTCAGAGAGGTTTATCATATATCCCATTTATATACAGGCTATAGCCATAGGAGTACACCCCCTGTATCTCATACTACCGACGACACTGGCGACATCTTTTGCCTTCATGTTGCCGGTTGCCACACCGCCGAATGCTATTGTGTTTGCGTACGGGGCGCTCAGAGTGGTGGACATGGTAAGAGATGACGTACTTTTACACACAGAACACTACATACCTTGTATAACACACGTAGCCTAACATTCCCCCATTTCACACCCTGTCACTGCCCCAGCTAACACAACACGGCTCTTATTAATGGAGCACAAATTTCACATCTAAAACACAATCTGTCACATCTAACACATTGCATCTGTCTTCATAAAACCACTGTGTCAGTCATATCTTACACGTCACAGCTGTCTCCTTCAACACATTGCGTTTGTTTTAACAAACTCATGACACCTCAGTGGATTAATATTTTAAGATACGATGACTAAAATATTATACAAGATATTATCAGGGAGTTCCGTTTATACATGCCACACAGAATAGCAGTATGACGCATCGGTTTTCAGACCTCAAATTTGTATATTCAACAGTAGAAGTTATGCATGATCTTATTTTAACGTTTTATATATTTTCAGGTCCTTGCGGGTATCGGAATGAACATCATATGTCTTGGTGTGGTGGCACTGGCCCTGAACACGTGGGGCACGGCGTGGTTTCAGCTGGATGTGCTGCCAGCATTCATGCAGAATGCGACAATTATCTCAACTACCACAATCTTACCAAACACAACTGTGGCACCTCTTTTGAACTGCACCTGTCCTTGAGCAACAGATACAGACTTAAAATATTTTTTTTTATATCAGATTTAAAGATGACTTTTATATGATCGAAGATGTTGACGTTTTAAACTTTATTCACATGCCAGTGAATTGCACATATTCATCTCACACAAAAAAAGATTGAATAGAATGCACAGGGGAGTTTTTTATTTAAAAAACATCATTCAAATTATGAATATGTTCTACATGTACATGTAGCCTGATAAAGGTTTTTGAAATTCCTATTGTGAAGATGTATGCGATATCCTTAAATTCCAACGCACCCATTTCAATACAAAGGTTACTTAATGTGTGGTCTATTACTGTCCCTCCCGTGCATTAGATAGAGATTTTAAATGTATTTATATTTTTGTTAGATAAAAAAGAAACTACTTTTTATTTTTCAAGTTATAGATTTAATTGTAAATGAATATTTATTGTCATACTTAAAGCACCAAACGCCCCCACTTTTTTCTCTTAGGGTTAGTTGGAGCCATTGTCATTCTTCTTGGAAGTTGACTTAAGAGTATACCTCATAAAATGATTCTTTTGAAATACTTCAGGTTTTACGTTTAGTCTTTAGACAAACAAATCAGTGAATTTGTAACACTGTAGTGTTAAGGCCAAACCTTCCTCCTTCTTCTCGTCTTCTTTATCCCCTTCTGCACGGCTCCATTACCACTCTGAGCCACATATAATTTAGATGTACATAACCTTAGTAAATCGATATTCTATCACCATATGCATATCACCCAGTCGTTTCTATCTGCAAACATTTTGTTTTTGACAATTTGTAATATGATATAGAGGATATGCTATTACGGTTACAGGATATACTATTAGGTCTTTTAATAATGAGCACGTGCACGCACACACACACACACACACACACCGATAATAACAATAACGTTAAACAATAGGAGGAGTACAGAAGGTTACAGCCGGTGACTTAGTTAACTGGCATTCTGTTTTGTGCCTTTTGTGAACCATTCCAAACCTTAGAAAATACATTTTATGCAACAAACATTTTGTTGTTTAGTTTAACTCTTTCTAGAACAGAAGGGCTGATTGCATATATGTATATAGTTATATTTTGTCAGAGGTTTTTTCTACATTAAATACATCAATACAAATGTTGTCCATGTTTTCAATACTTATCTCTCTTTTAACTCCTAAGCTGAAATTACGCTGAGGAGAAGGTTAGTCTTGACATTTGGTCTTTTTCGTACGTAAAAACTGAAAGTGCACGCAAAATAATACATACACACACATACTTGTCTTGTTTCTCTTCATTCCAAATATTCCCCTAAAATATGATCCAGATGAGTTATCAAATGTCTCGATCTAAGTGCGCATTTAGTGAGCTTTTCCATGCATACTAAAACGGGGACATTAATTTATGGGACACTTGGAACAAGGCAGCCAAGGCACACCAAGGGGCTTGAAACGACAAGTGTATGCAAGTGTAGTGGTTTGTTTCAAGTAATCTCTGAAGCCCAGGGTGCCTTGTTGGTGAAAAATGCAGCGTTGTATCTCATCCTTATGGGTGACAGTAGCATATTTAGGTCATGTAATGCATGTCAGTCCCATTCCTTTTTTTTCAAACAAACATTTCTCTTTCCCCGAAGAAAAAATTAAAGTGTGTTCCTTGAACCTGAAACCTCCCGCAGCTTCGAAATAATGACTGTCTAGAGGAAGATCTAAGTTCTGCCATCAATCTGTTACGTTTGTCACCAAAAGAGGGCGAAACGAAACTCAGGTGTAAGAAGAAACAAACGAACCTTTGTTGCCGTCATACTGAGAGGTTCACGCTGAAAACTATAACTAAGGTAATTGAAACTGTGCAATATTGAATAATTAACAGTCTTCATAGGCCGGGATTTTATGGACGCTCGGAATTTGGAAAAGGTTTGTATAGAATTACGTCTTTATTAGTACATAGATTAGGGTAAAACGAGCTTTTTCAAAGCACAGCAGTGAAGAAAATCACATCCCTATACTCAGTCGAAATGTCCACTTATAGAACGACAAGACCCTGCAGCGGTTAAACTTAGGCCACATCCATATTTGTTCCGTGGACTAACAGATCCGCGAGTCAAATATGGCTCACCCACTTGAAAGCTTAGCGCGTAACCCCCGCTGGGAATCTATTCAATGTCTTTAAGCTGTCCGGCAAGCTTTCAAGTGGTCCGGCCATATTTGATCCGCGGATCTGTCAGTCCTCGGATCAAATTTGTTCTGAATGCCCCCTTAATAGCCGCATTGCCTAGCACCTTCTGTATATAAAAAAGGCAAGGAGATAAAAAATATATCCTGTTCAGCCAGGATCACTTTTCATTCTGTTGTATCGAATCTAAAGATTATGTAAGTAGGCCTGTGTCGAGCGTGATGTGACTGTTAGTTTACTGTAAACAGGGTTCACGTGAAAATATGTAATAACACTGAACATTATAATAGAAGCTTGAACTTGGCTATATATGTGTCACATCAAATGTATGCGTCATGAAACAACCGTGTACACTTTTAAACCATATATAGCCTCACGTGGATAACTTTAGGATCCCATACAACAGTCATACTATTGCTTTACTTCCTACCTATTTCCCAGCAAATCTCCCCTACTACTACCTCAGTGTCACGCAATTTCTCGATCAGAAAACGTGCGAGTTTTTAAAAAAATAATCTGAAAACGAAATATAATAAATAAAATGATTAGTATAAACATAATTACAAGAGGGACCAACTGTCAATATTTAATTACAGCTCCAGGGTGTTGGAACATCTTTTAGTCTTCGCCACTTGTATACTTTAAATCCAACATAATGTGAAACTTTTTGCGTGAGAAACGACCATTGAATTTACGTCCCTTCGTGACTTATTTGCTAAGCCTTTATTATATAAATGTTGGGGTGAATGTGGCCGTTTCCCCTTGCACAGGAATTTCCATATATATGCATGTTATTTTTATTGTATTTTTGATGTAATCAAGGATCCTCCAAAACTGTACACCCTTGTTTCCTATATAAGCAATCAAACACCCTGACAAAAATTGTTTCCTACTGATTTGTCGTTGCATTATTTCACCTGTGGTGTGAGTTAATTTATACCTTTATCTGAACACCTAATAGCAATAAATGTCACAGAAATGGATCCAGTTTTACGAGATTATAACTCAATTGATAAACTTCATTTTTTTAAATCTTACCTCGAGGCCTATACCCACCTGTGATAGCACATAATTTATAAGTTAAGCAGGTTTTAAATATCGCCATTTATGCCTACCTGTATGCTCTTTCTCCTGTTTTGGCCTCATAAAATCTATGATCTTATTTTCGGGTTTTTCCTTCGTGTGCACATAAATAAACAACATAACAATAAAGGGCGTGTATATGTACATTGTATACAGATTAGCATCAATGTCAACAGCGCATTCAGTTTAAATGTTGTATAATGATCAAGGACAATAATACGACATATAGGAGTAAATGGGGAGGGTGGCAGTGGTTATACACTCACACACACACTGGCCTTAAACAAGGAATGCCCTTGTACAGTTTCCGGGTGAGGGACATAGAAAACAACGTGCAGTGCCCTCGATCCATCCTAAATTGTAGTCTGATAAGCAAACCGAGATAAAAACAAGCGATTCTCCCCCCTGTGTCTTAAATGTAATTTCAATATTGCTCGACTACTGTTGGCCAAAATATTATCATGTTTCCATGCCCCCCCCCCAACCCTAAACCCACACCCCAACTCTAAAAGCAAGATCCTGTTCTCTGTCAGTTTTGCGGGTTAGTTTACTCTGCAAACGTCCATATTCGTTTACTTTGTGTGCACGCCTAATTGTCCACGGGTCTGGGTGGACACATCGTGCCGTATTCCCGACATAACAGTCTGGGAAGACAAGACGAAGACGACAAGCAAGACCATTGTGTCTTTTTGATTCTTTGGAATTGGTGAGTCTTTTCATGTGTGTTTTCATTCAAACCAAGTACAATCATGTTTATCACCTTAAATTGAATATCATAACGGTTAAGCTCAACGGCATTATAACTCATTATAATAGAACTTTTAATAGTATTTCCAGGCAGAGGTACAAACAGGATGGGAAAATACAGCATAGGCGCCATTATATGGGCGTACCGTTCCACCATCATAATGATAGCTACACCGCTACTTCTTTCACCAATTCCAATATACTTCAACGTGGCGGAACCTTTGGTAAGTAAAAACCTTGCACGTATGTTGGAGGTTTTCGAAAATATCTATGGTGCAGCAATTAATAATTACAAAGAAACTTGCAATTCCTATCACAGTTATCATTAACCAAACAAGAAAACATTGTGGGTTTACTGCTCAAATAGTAGCGGTAAGTAGGTTGTCAGGAATAAACGTCAAATTAAAACTTATGTCATGGCGCATTGTGCATAATAGCTGGTTCTAATGGTTAAGTAAACGCAATAGCGGTGCAACCGCAAATAATGATACTGCGAATTGGTAAACCTCAAATAGCAATACTACCAATTGGTAAACTTCAAATATGATACTTTCAATTAGTAATTTAGGGCCGTGTTTCAGAAGAGTAATTCAGGCGGATATCATTTTTAAATTAAAAGTCTTCTTTGGCACAAGATAGAGCTGTAAAAGTCCACAAAATTAAGTCTTTTTAAATATCTTCCTTGCTATGAAACAGTCTTGGTATTCCATGTGGACTATTACAGACTGTTTTTACAGCGGTTTGGGTAAAAGTGGAATTTCACTGAAGTTACTGTTTGAAACAGGGCCCAGCCGAACAGGCTGTCCCACAATGTGCTGTTAAAATAGCTACTTGAATTCGTTTGCTCACATCGTGTGCTTTAAGGATTATAATATAGACATGGTACATGAAGGTGATTTGTCATTCAAAAACGCATGCCCGTTGTATCAAGGATACCGTGACAAATAGATATTAGAACTACTTTGGCGTGTTTTTCATTGGGGATTGTCCTTGGCACATGCCTAATGTGCTGTTTACTTTTCTTCATTTTTAAATTCTAATGTTTAGTGTAAGGCACAATCATTTGACAGAATTAACCAAATAGATAAATACATGAATAAAAGAGGCGAAGAGCAAGAAAAGTTATTTGGTAAAGGATAAATTTAATTAGGTCTGAATTGTTCGAGAATGAAACCAACACGGTTTTTCAATGTGTTCATGCATATACCAAATTTAAACAAAAATACCAGATGAAAAAACAGGTTAGTATCAGCAAAAGTCTGATTGAGAACAGTGGAATTTGAGACTCACTTAAAAATTGTGACAGACATATTATATTAAAAATACAGAGAAAAGTTTCAAACGTGACATACAAGATATACCTAAAAAAAGATGTGCCTATTCCTTTAGTATTGGCGGGAAGCTAACTGTGCCTACATCCTGGCAATTATGGCAGTGTATTGGGTGACAGAAGTGATTCCTCTGGCTGCCACAGCGCTCTTCCCCATAGTCTTCATGCCAATCTTCTCTGTCAACACGTCCGCCAGAATATGTTCACAATATCTCAAGGTAAGTAGTCTAAGTGTCTGTCTATCTGTCCGTTTGCATGCCTTTATTCATATATATATATATATATATATATATATATATATATATATATATATATATATATATGGAGATATATTTGTCCTTTGCAAAACACAGAAGTGTTTGAGCAATGTCATAAAGCATTTGGCAAAAATGAACCGAAATTAATATACTTTGAATATTCATGGCAGGACACTAACATGCTATTTTTTGGAGGGCTCATGGTTGCTGTCGCAATTGAAAAGTGGAACCTCCACCGTCGCATTGCGTTAGGAGTTCTCATGTTAGTGGGTACAACATCGCGATGGTAAGTTTTGCCATGGAGTGCCTTGGTTTTGCCAATCTCATTATAGACCAAGCTCTTTTTACATGGGTATTGTTTCATTGTTTGTAACATTCCCTAGGCGTATACGATTTTTCAACGGCAGCATACTAGGATATTAGTGTGTTGGATTTTGACCTAAAAAGTACATTGTTACACAAGGTGGTAATTTTCCTTACATCGCGATAGCTGTATGTTTGAAGTAATATTATTCATAAATACCAGCATACCCAAATCATTAATTAAATGAACATAAATTGTTGAATATTTAAATATGGATAATTTTGTCTGAACCAGGCTTATGTTGGGGTTCATGCTCCCTACTTGGTTCTTATCAATGTGGATCAGCAATACAGCCACGACGGCCATGATGGTTCCGATAGTTCAAGCTGTACTGCTGCAACTCAAGGAAACGACAACGAAAAATATTGAAGGTAAAATGTTCTTAAATCTTCTTTATTAGTAATTGAGCGGCGATTTATAAGTTTATTACATAATAAGCTGTTAATCTACATATTATTCAAGTTTTGGAAAGGGTTGGCGCATTTAGTTCTTTTTTTTTTTAGTGTGTATGTCAAAACCTTACACTGTTGTATAAGTCGTTTTGTAATGATATCTACCAAATAATATCAACATTTTCCATCCAAGTGCATGTATTTGCTAGGATATGATAACCCTGCACTAGAAAACGATCCAGAAAATGTTGACAGTACAATTACAGAAGCTAACGGGTAAGTGATGTCTTCCCAGTACCCTTAGTTATTTGCTGTTTGATATACTTTCTTTGTAGTTTCTTAATGTTTTAAAATGCCACCATATCAATGAGGACTGCTGAGAAAACGATTACGCTTAGCTGTTTCTAGCTTAACATGACCGTTCAATTCTTGATTTTTGTGATCTTGTATGTTATCGAAAAACTAAAACTGCTTGAATGTATATAACACCCAACCGATATTTAGAGTCAGACGTAACCGTAATTTGCGGTTTGCTGGTTTAATTATATCCGATGAAGTAAGAATATTTGCTTGTAAAAAAAAGTTATATAACTGGAACACGGCGCTCTGGCAAACTTTATCGGTTATTTCGGTTATTGTTCAATATTATTTTGACGCAAATATTATTGTACAACTTGATAAATCCGTTAAAGCCAATGGAAACACCACCCCAAGTACATCAGTTGCCGGCATACCGCTTATATCTGTTACTATTAAAGGAAGCCAACTGATGCCAGTGGCGATGATTTAGAGGGGAATGGCGCCGGGCAGGAGGAGGACCCTGTATATACCAGGCTGAGCAAAGGCATGTACCTGTGTATAGCGTACTCGGCCACCATTGGCGGCTTGTCCACTCTTGCTGGCACCATACCAAACCTGGTGATGAAAGGACAGGTGGACATGTAAGTTTTTCTTTCTCTTTCTCTTTCTCTCTCTTTTTTCTCTTTCTCTCTCTCTCTCTCTCTTTTTCTGTCTCTCTCTTTTTCTCTCTCTCATTTCATCTTTCTGTCCGCCAATTTCTGTCTTACTTTGCCCCATAGTATCTCCTTTTGTATGTCACGTTCTCTTCGTACCAGGGCATGCATATGTTTTGCATATTATATATTGTCGACCATAAAAGAAACATGAAATTGTATTTCAATTATTAAACAAAAGGAACTATGTAATGTAGTGGGAAAATATTCAGCGTATATAAAAAAGAAACGAATGGTGAGTGCGTTATCCATCAACATTCGGTTAAAATATTTACCTTAGTTTATAGGGTTATTATAACCATTCAAACTTTTTGGTCGAGTGTATATATATACTTTTTTCCACTGCAGATTGTTTGAAAAATACAACGACGACACCCACACAAAACTAACTTTTGGTACTTGGATGGTGTTCGCTCTCCCGACATCAGCAATCTGTCTTGTTATAGCATGGCTTTGGCTCCAGTTACTTTTCCTGACCAATTTTGGGTAAGTGATAGATTGGTCCATATATGGTCGTTTTGGGGCAGCGAATGAAGACTGCGTTTTAAATTTTGCTGATGAAAACATTGAATTGATCCGATTCTTTATACAAAATACTAATAAATTAACTAATAAATAAACTAATAAAGTACTAATGGCTATTTTAGATATTGGACCAGCACTAAATGCCCCCGTGACCGCTTTTTATTAAATGGTCGATAAAAGCATATCTGGTCCTTTAAATTTATCAGCAGGTCCTGTGATTTCATAGTGTAACAGAAAGAAATAGAAAGGAGCAATTACATGTATATTGTAAATGATGCATGATTCATCCAGCTTTACCTCTTTGTTTGTAGCTGTTGCAAAACTAAGTCCAGAGCCCAAGACTACACACAAAGGTAAGTTGAGTGTTACTATCAGTTTTGGATTTTTATTTATTTATTTATTTATTTATTTATTTTTTTTATTTTATTTTATTTTATTTTATTTTATTTTGCAGCTTCGGCTTATGGCGTATACTTATTAACAGAAAACCGCTTTAGTCAAAAATAAGTCTTGGAAAAAGAGTAATTGCGGTAGCTTGGAAATAACATTTTAAAGTTACGAATGTTTTAGGGCAGACGAGAAAGAAAAACAGACACGGGTGAAATCAGCGATGCGTAAAGAATGGAAGAAGATGGGGCGGTTGACGTAAGCGTATCACTCGTACTACAAATCGGCTTTAATTAAAAAAAAACATGCTGATGATTTGTTTTTCATGGGGAACTTTAATTTAAACTGAATATACTTGACACTAGCCCATTATATGACTTGCTAGTTAAGAACACACAAACATGCCTTCCACTGTCTTAGCCTTACAGTTTCTCCGCAGTATTTTAGTTTAAACAAGGTTAAGGTCAAATATTAATATATATGGCAGAAGATAAATCAGTCCAAAAAACATTTTCACCAAAATATCAAACACTGTTTTTTCTTTCAGGCTTGCCGAATTATTGCTGGTGATAATGTTAGTGATCCTCGCTGCCCTGTGGTTGTCACGTTCTCCAGGTCAGGTAGATGGATGGGGAAGCCTGTTCAAAGCCAAGTACATCTTCCAATCCTATACTTATATTATCATTCAATTCCCAAATCCATCATGTGGTTCGCGTTATCTAATAGCAGAAGAAGGTGTCTTTTGGGATACTGAAGAAATCGTTTGTCAATATTTTATTATTTTTTATTTTATTTATTATTATTATTATATTATTGAATTAGTCATGTAATCTTAAATGTGACAATTTCACGTCGTTTGCACTTGGAAAGTTTTTAAAAGAATTTTAAAGAATGGATTCCTGATTCGATTCAACAGAGATTGACCAAAATATTAGTCTAGAAGTAAGATCTCCAAGACTGTGGCACATGACCAACAGAGCGGGTATTTTTTGCTGCTTATACATGCCAATCTTTATAAAGAAAAACATGACGAATTGATTTGATTTAAAGAAACAAAAACTTATTAACATGTTACTTCCTGATATCCCCCTCTCGTTTCATTTTAGATATGTATCTGACGCAACTCCAGCCATTTTAATTTCGCTCCTCCTATTCATGTTGCCATCCGAAGGACTGTGGTGCTTCTCCAATAATAAAGGTAATCATTGTTATTGCTCATCCTCCAACACTATTTCCTTCTTAAAACGCTTGATCCCTACTCATTGTGGCCTTCTTTGTTTCTTTTCTTTTTCAGATGAGAGAAAACCTGGTCCTAGCCCGGCTCTTCTAGACTGGAAAACGGTGGAGAAGAATTTCCCGTGGGGAGTGGTCATTCTGCTGGGTGGAGGCTTTGCTTTGGCGGACTCTGCCAAGGTAGGATAGTGGATTTAAAATATGTGAAGCTTAACAAGGATAGGGATACCTTTGGACGTGAACTACATTTCTTTACTATTTATTTTATCATAAAGAGTATAATTGAGCAGTGTGATGTATCTAAAGCAACTCTTCTAAAACCAAACGAATAACAAAACACCATGCAGAGGTCCATTATTTTGGAAGTTGAATTGTTTCAAAAATATGGCGGAGTAAGTTTGAACGCTATAACCAAAATAACCCTCTAAGATTATTTCAGTTTTTCGGCCATCTTTACCCCTGGAGGTGTAGCTTGTCAGCACCAAGCAGTTGACAAGATATTTTAATATTAAAAATAATGGTGTCATCATATCTATCTACAGTACCATGAATATCATTAAAGGATAATTGAATTATGAGAATAGAAACATATATACACTAATTCTGAGTTGAGATTTCTGTTTTTTTTTTTTTGGGGGGGGGGGTAACACTTAGTTAACTACAGTGGTTGAAATATAAATGCAGATTGAAGTTGTTCCAACTTATATGTTTTGTAAATCATCTCGTTCCTTCTTACTTTCTTTTAGGAATCCGGTCTGTCTGATCTCGTTGGAAAAGCATTTGAAAGCTTCCGGGGTATCAACCCAGTTGTGTTGGCCATTATTATAGGTGCAGTGGTCGCAGGTGCGACAGAAGTGACCAGCAACACGGCCACCGCCACCTTACTTATACCTATCATTGGGGAACTGGTGGGTGACGCATAGCATTTCAAAATGTTAGAAACTGGGAATTAATGAATGTCGCTTTTCGCCCTTCTTTAAAACTAATGAAAAAAGGTATTCTAGCAGTTCGTCTTTATTCTGTTAGTAGTAATTTGATTGATCAGAGCAAGATTTTAAACTATAAATACAGAATATTCAGGACATTATGAGTATATTCACTTATATGTGAACATATGAAGTTTGCTGTCTTATGTGAGTTTACTCAAAGCCATATCTTGTCTACTTACAGGCTATAGCCATAGGAGTACACCCTCTGTATCTAATACTACCGACGACACTGGCGACATCTTTTGCCTTCATGCTGCCAGTTGCCACACCGCCGAATGCTATTGTGTTTGCGTACGGGGCGCTCAGAGTGGTGGACATGGTAAGAGACGACGTACTTTTACAACCAGCACATCACACTCATTTTACATATTTCATAAGGCTCTTATTGAGGGATACTGGTATGACCCAGGAGGGTTTATCCTACCCCCCCCCCCCCCCACAACGTTTTCGACCACGTACGACAGTCGTGACTCCTGTATGTTATATGGAAAAGAATGTTTAATGTTCTAACATGCTGTATAAGAAAGATTTAGGTTATTTTTCCAAGTTGTCTCTATTTTTAATTGTAATAGTATTACATATTAGAAATACTTGATTTTGAGCTCTGCAACAATGAGTGAAAGGATGTATATTTGGTTTTAACAGTTATTGATATGTTGAATAATTACATCTTGATTTACTCTAATATCTAGGTTCTTGCGGGTATTGGAATGAACATCATATGTCTTGGTGTGGTGGCATTGGCCCTGAACACGTGGGGCACAGCGTGGTTTCAGCTGGATGTGCTGCCGGCGTTCATGCAGAATGCGACAATTATCTCAACTACCACAATCTTACCAAACTCAACTGTGGCGCTTCCTTTGAATTGCACCTGTCCACCGTAAATACTAGATATGAGCTGTAGCAGCGCTTGTGTTTTATATTTAAATGGAAGCAAATATTCATAAATTTTAATTGTTCAATATATCAGATTAAATTAGATTTTACAAACCCATCAGTCCACTAAACATCGATGGAATAATATTGGCAATTTAAGAAACTTGCAGATATTTATACCTTACAGAATGTATTAGTTTTATTAAAGCAACATTTTATTTCCAAAGCGATTCAACAACTAACCTAAAATAGGTTGAAACGTGCCTTTATCCTCCTTCCCTTTTTCTTTTATTTATATAGTCTTCATGCCAAACGAAACCTCTAAGTCTATTTATTTATCAAGATGTTTGTCGTATGTTTTGTCAGTGGGCAGGCAGGGTATCGATACTTTCGTTCAAGAAATATGTACTGTTATTATAAGAAAGGGGTTAGATATTACATTTTATAATACTGTGATGCTTAGGCAAGTATAAATTAAGATTTGCTTTTTTTGTATTATGAAATTGGAAATGATGATGTCAATGTCATCAAAATCTGTATGATATAAATAACGTCATGCGCTGGGAAGCAAAGAAAATTGCTTGGATTCCATATGAATGGCGTCTGGAGCTTCTTGCAATATATTATCCAAGATGACCTCCATTAGCAAGACCTCATTTTCTTCAAATAAAATTATCCCAGTGCTGAAGCAAGTCAAACTAAGGAAGTAAATTGATTACTTGGTATTTTATTCGCTCTGATTTATACAACCATTGAAACCATGATTGAATTCTCAGTCCAATTTGCATGCATGCTTAGTTTTTCAACTTGAAGATTTAACTTAGCAAACCTTTTGGACTAGGCTGCTATGTTAACTATGTTAACTGTACAGAAACATTCAGCAAAGGAGAAAAAATAGCTGTAAAAAACTTCCAAAGCCATCTCATCCATTAAATTTGTAAATTCGGTTTTAGTGTACAGATATTATTGTAATGGTATCCTGTGTAGTACAAACCATCATAGGAGTGGAACACAATAATCTTAACACACTGTAGTACCATGGGAAAGATAAGACATCAGAAATAACCTAACCAGGCATAAATTTTAACACGACCATTTTACTGGCCCTACAGCACACTTCAGAGCAAAATATATCTTATATCATAGTGTTTTAAATATAAATTATGCACAGCGACACAAATGATCTGGTGGTGACAACAGGTACAGCCACGACAATTTCTGCACACCTGTTCTGTTACCTGATCATGAGGTGCAAACACAGGACTTATCCAGTGAAGATATGCTTGGTTGTTTGATTCAGCTTCGTCACACAAGCTCCACCTGGAGAGCTACACAATACTCCTCAGCTCCATTAAAAACTGACCTCAAAGAGACCCTTTGGCGATCAGTCTTGTTCCAACAAAAAATGGAGCTTTTTTCCCTATAATTTACAAAAGTTCTGTACAAGTGATATCATTCAAATAGAACTTCTTCTCTGACCATTTAGCAGCTGGGTCAGTGTGTGACCCAAGTGATTAACAATTGCTATAATAACAATAATGATAATGATAATAAATGATTGCAGTATAATACAAAAATTCTGTACAAATGTTATTTTCAACGTAACATAATACTGCTCATGCAACACATGAGGTGATGAGCAACTGCATTATTTTGTTTGAAGATTTTTAAGTCAGTTTTATGTGTCCTGGAAAAAATACAATGGAATCAGCATAAACAGTTGCAACACAAGGCAACTGAAACAGAAGAGCTTTCTCACTGTCTCTCTAAAATTCTACGTACCGTACAAAGGTCAAAATATATGATATGCGCCATGGCTCACATACAGTGAAGATGGCTGAATGGAAAATCATTCAATAATTTTCTCCTGTATTTGTCATAATAATAATATTAATATTACCTTATTCTAAAAACTTTTCAAACAAACTTGTTTATTGTCCTTGCCAGCAGTGCTGTTGCTTAAACTGCTGTAGAATTTTCCTGTGGCAACCTATGTCAAAACGTACAACTGCTGCACCATGCTACCTTCATAATAGTCAAAGAGAGCCACTGTTTAACATGATAATACTCTCCACAAAGATCAGAGGACATCTTAATTAATAGTTACAGCAACCGACATCCTGTTCATTTGTCTTCATTGTACTTTTAAAAATTAAAATTGCATCAAAGCACAATTTCGAAACAGTTCCAGGATCAAGGTAATAGTGATAAGTTAATGCTAATTTTGCCACATTTTTAGTCAATTGTTTTATTTGGTGTTTCACTCCTAAAAATATGTAACTAATTGCATTCCTTATCATATATAATTATTGCTCAAAAAGTAGACACACAAATAAGTCCTCTGGTAGTTTTGAACTATTTTTCTAGACCAGTGTTTTAGGCTTCATGAACTCATGGGGTTCAAAATACACAATCTGCATGTATTGATCACTTTATAAAATAAAATTTAAATAACCAAATAATTGACAATTAAATACATTGAAATATCTAACAGTTTCCAAAACAGAACTCCAAACTGATTGCTTCAGGAAGTATATTGAATAAGATGAATAAGATGAAAACTAGAATAAATTGGAATTGAGGCTACAGAACTTTTGGTAAAAAGAAAGCTACTGGGTTGTATGATACAGATCATGGGTTGTGAACCCCAGTTGCTAAGAAGCTTGCTGTATTTAAACTTTATTCATATGCTTAGCATGCACACCAAATACATAAACAACATACACAAACATTAGGGCAAGGCAAATGAACTGGCAGAAACAATCCCAGGTCTTGAACACAGTTCAAGAAATTATGCAATTAATTTGAGAAAGCAGAGCTAAAAAGATTAAGAAACATCTACTATCTAAGGTAATGCTTAGAGCATAATAAGAATAAGAATCAGTATTCTATTTAACCTAACCCAAGGCAGCAGGCCTGATGCTGTAACCAGGGAAGTTGTCCCTTCTTCCTTGGATCTGATACAAGAGCAAAGTATATAACAGCAAGACAGTCTTGAAATTCAATCTCCATCACATGAAATTTTCTGAAAAAGTTTGCTCTATATTCCAGAATTCCTTCATTTTTCCTCCATTCACAAGCTTTGCCCTAATGGTCTGCCCCGCTCTGGCTAGCTACAGGCCAATGTTGTCGATCAGAACCTGTCACTTATCTACCTCCCCTTGCTACTTCTGAGTCACAGCCCTTATGAAACTTGTTCTTAATATTCATGTCCACAAAGTTCACAGCTATTAAATATAAGAGGTTGCTGACTGGCCTTCAAAGGGTTTCTTGGGTACAGTTGTGGCCACATCCAATTAGCTTAAGAAGAGGTTGATCCTTCATGCCACAAATTGACAGTAGAAATTACCCTTCAAACTACAAATAATACATCCAGTCATGTACTGTTCCTGACAGTGAAAATGACTGCACTCTTCACATACTAGCATGAAAGTCTCACTCCCTGTTCCCCATTGTTCAGACTATTTTAACTTCTCATTTCGTCTGCCCTCAACTTCAGAAAAACCTTTGCATATCAGTCCAAATATCATCCAGCAGTTTTAAAGGGAGAAACATGCGTCAAAGTCAAACATGGACGATTCATGGAAACATCAGATCTTCAATGCATGTCACTTGGCCACCTCCTCTGTAATCTAGAACTGGACGGTAAAGACAGCTCAGTTAACAAAATGACATCCTACTCCCAAGGGGAACAGCTAGTTGAAATTCCGCCTCCCAAAAGGAGTCCATAGAATGGATCCCCATGGTACTGGTTATGACAAACTTGCTCACAAACTCTCTGTGAAGTATGAAGACATGAAAACACAAGCTAAAAACAGGAAATAACCACCACTTGCTGAGCTGCATCTTTCAAGGTCTGTTTTGTTCTTTTCTACGTGTGAAGATCTGTGACATTGGTGCGATACATCTGTGTGACCCAGAGCTGCTCAGTTCAGCAAACAAGTCCACATAACCCACGTACTATGCCTTCCTACTCAACATTGGTTAGGTCAAGGTCATAGACGCTGAGGCTCGTGGCAAATTGTTCAACATTCTTGAGGTTACATGCAAAGGTTTCAACCAACCACTGCTAACACCAGTCAGCCATGTACTCAAAGTCTTTGAAGAGCAACTGCTCGTTGTTTGTGAGTGGGCGTCTCTCCTTAGGTGGGGTCAGGATTGGGCGTTCTGACGTGAATTCTTCATCGAAGTTACTTACATCCTCTGTTGAGTTCTGGAAAATGGAGGGGGAAAATATTTTGACTTGAAAATTTAAAATGCTATCATTTTTGTTCTTTCTGTTTTTATGAATAATAAATCTTTGCAAACATAATCATATTTGACAAAACAAAAGTAACTTCTGTTTACAGGAAAAACTTTACATTTTTCCCTTGCCTCTGTTCATTAAACTTACTAAAACATATTGCATATCATTTAACATATCTAAAGCATTTATAATTTTTCTCTCCATTTTATTCAATATCAAGTACAACACTGCAGGTTTTCAACACAAAACCTTTGGCAATAAATTATCAAATCATTAAAAAGCAGCTGCTAATTATGGATTCATTACACAGTGAATACTCACAATAGTGGGAACAAACGGTGGTTTGGTTTTCCTCATCAGAAGATCATCCCAGTTCACATTCTGGAAACACATTAAATATATGAAAAGGCTAATAGATTAAATAGAATATGACTTCAAAAGATAAAAAGAGACAATGAATAAAACAAGAAGAAAATGTGTCAAAAGTGTTTTTTAACTGTAACAGATTGACTTCGTTCCTTATCAGAGAATTGCGTCTGTACAAAACAAGGGCTTCATGAGATATGGTTTGGTGTGATAATTTGACATGATATTCTGGGGTAGCTCTAGCAATTTTTTTCACTTAGCCAAATCACCACATTTTTGTCAATTTGTTATCAAAATGGTTATAATTTGGCTAAAACATGTCAAATCAAGCCCTTTTTCTTTAGCCAATTTAAGTCAGTTTTAGCATTTGGTGTTAGCGCTACCCCAGATATTGTTGTATGTTCAAAGCTAGGTTTACCCTAAAGAATGCCTGTTTCTTAACATCTTCAGCGTCACGTTCACTGGAACCTAACCTTCTCTCTGGGTTACGCCTGAGAAGCTGAATAAAAATAATACCAATGTTTTATTAATGTATTGAAAGAGGACTATTTCTAAATGGGTGACTAACATTCTACATTACCCTTTCTATAGAAGGAAATTTCATGTTAGCCTATAAACTGAGTGCTCCTGTGGTATAAAACAAACATATTTACAATTTTAAAGAAAAGTGTCTGTTCTTAAAGGGATAATAACTCTTCTTTCGGCCAAAAATGAATTTTCCTGGAGTAAACAACAATTTTCCCATACTTACCAATGGTTAATGAATCCATTTTTACATTCAAAGTTAGTCCCTGGTTTTTTTCTAAAAAGTTTGGTTTTTTGTTAAAATCTCTTAAGAGATTTTAACAGAGTATAGCCATCAATGGAGGTCACGTGGTCTAAAGACAGGCTCAGATATCAGAATAATAGCTATGACTGCCGCTTTTGTGGTAAAACAGAATATATAATATTTCTATGAGTTATTCACAATGTTTTTATTGTGAAATATAGATCTCATACGAAGAGTTATTATCCCTTTAAACAATTTCAAGTCCTTCCTTGATCTTGCTACTTAAAAGGTTCTTACACACAAAAAAAACCTTTAATAGTCAAAATCAAAACTAAGATCTTACCCGCCTCATTATTGCAATTGACTCTGAGGACAGGAAGCGTGGATATCGCACTTCTTCGTTAACTATGCTGTCAAACACCTCCTCCTCATCATCACCAGGGAAGGGGGACTGGAAACAACATGTTTTGAATTAGCTTTTTACTTATTTTATCTATAAGACTTTTAATTTTAACAGTAGTAGGATTTTTGTCAAGGTTTTGATCTCAACAGTTACTTATGTTAGTAAAAGTTACATCATTCACCTTCATTTCATTAACAAGGGTAACTGTACACAGATCTTCCCAAATTTAAAAAAAATCTGATCTCAAGTAATTTCTGTAACAACAGACACACATTGCTGACAATAATGCCACTTGCACTTATCACAAAATGATAATGCTCATAAATTCACAAGTAAGAGTATCCATACAGAAAAAAGTATCAACAACATTTTACTCAACAGGAAAAATTAACCGGAAGATCTGAAACAAAATCGGTCCAGAGCCTCACCTCCCCAACTAACATCTCAAATATGAGCACGCCGAGCCCCCACCAGTCCACAGCCCTGGTGTAGGAGGTCTCCGTGAGAACCTCGGGGGCAAGAAACTCTGGCGTCCCACAGAATGTGCTGGTTCTGTCCCCATGACCCATCCCTTCTTTACAGAGACCAAAGTCTGCTATCTTCAGGTACCCTTCAGCATCCAGGAGCAGGTTGTCTAGTTTTAAATCCCTGATAAATATAATGTAAATATTATGTAACAATTAGAAGAAAAAACTGAGTTCATTAAACCTTGGATGGCCAGGTGTCACCACTTGTCTTGTATATACTTCACGGCTGTATTCATTAGAAACTACTTGGATGTAACATATGGTTATTAAGGAAAAACAGATTAACTAAAGAATTCTGAAGTGTAAAATATGTAGAAGAGAACCAATTGGGAGTTTCAGGTTCTCACTTTACCATGCAAACTATGTTAAATTCACGAAAAGTTTCTGTGACTTACCTGTACACAATATTATGTTCATGAAGATATTGCAATCCCAAGACCACACAGGCTGCATAGAAAACTGTCCGCACCTCTGAGAAGACATCGTTATGTATGTGCATCATCAGGTCACCCCCAGGGGCATACTCCATTACAAAACACACATGTTCCTGGAAGCCAAAAAATGGAAGTTTTTAACTTTCTGCAGAAAATTCTTTATTTTAGTTCTTTTATCACAACACAATGATTACTAGAATGGTCTCCTGGTAGAAAGAAGAACTTTTTAATGACAAGACTTTTTGCATTAGACAAAGAAGAGCATTCAATTTTTGAAAGACATTGTGACAGACTATATAGATTTTTTCAATTTCAAGGACATTCTTTCTTGGATTATCTGAACAGAAATCAATGGATACATAGTTATACATGCTTTTGCCTTTTTAAAATGCATGTATTTAAATGGGACAAGAACGACCAAATGATGACAAAACAACCCTTACCTGAGTTTGGAAACAAGCAAACAAATTGACTAAGAATGGGTGCCTCATGGAGTTTGCAGTTTCAAAGATTCTCTTCTCGGACATTAAACTCTCAACTTCGTCCCTTGAAATGATGTCACCCTTCTTCAGGGCCTTTATAGCAAACAGTTCATTTGTGTTCTTGTATTCTGCTAGAAGAACCTAAAACATAGGAACACAATCTTTTTAATGCTGCAGGACTTAAATAAACGATCAATATAAAATCCAGAAAAAAATTCCAAATGTGAATATTATTTTACTAGAAAAATATTTTAACAACACAAGCTCATACAACTAGCAGCAGAGAAAGGCACTTAAAAGAAAAATCTTCTTTTAATTATATTACCTTTCCAAAATGTCCCCTTCCAAGTACAGCAATGCAGCGGAAGTTATCAGTTGTGAGCAAAGATGTGGGCCTAAAAAAAAAAAAAACTTATAATGGCTTTTTAATTAACAGGTATCATTTGACTGACAGAGTCTTTAAACAGACCAGACAAGTTAATTCTTTTCATTGGCAAACACCCAAAAGCCAAATATATATTTTATGACTTAAGTGTTTCTATAATAAACAAATATACCCTTTAAAGTGATACACACTGGGCTGCAATAAGGCTGACAACAAGCAGGCTCCACATAAAAGCCATGGCATTCTGCAATGTTAAAAACATCCACATAATCCCTACAACAAATACCTTCTTTCAGGCTCTGGTTTTGTTATTTTTGGAGCTGGCGCCACGATCTCTCTGTTTTTCCTCTTGGCTGGGATAGGGGGCTGCGGAGGCAGGTCTGCTGGGGTGTTGTCTAGGTCCACGGTCTGAGCATCTAAACTTTGATCTGGCAGGAAGTCAAACATCGACAATGCTTGCTGGAAGTTTCCAAAATAAAGATTATTATTCACAGTTCTGTTTCACTCTCTCTTTGTGAAAAAAAAAGTGAAATAGGAAAAATACAGAAGGTTAGGCACAAGAGCATGAAAACAATATTCTCTGACTGGTTTCAATTTAATTTACATTTTTTTTCATTCAGTAATCTTTAACAATATCTCTAACCATTTATTATTACTATTATCATATTTTGTTTGCATTGGCATCTAACAGCCATACAAATTTTGGACTCAAGGAGGAGTAGGTTGTCACAATGGTGAGGGAACTATTCAAGAACAACCCAAGGGCATGTGCATCCTTTCTGTTGACCCCNATAATATTAATATTACCTTATTCTAAAAACTTTTCAAACAAACTTGTTTATTGTCCTTGCCAGCAGTGCTGTTGCTTAAACTGCTGTAGAATTTTCCTGTGGCAACCTATGTCAAAACGTACAACTGCTGCACCATGCTACCTTCATAATAGTCAAAGAGAGCCACTGTTTAATATGATAATACTCTCCACAAAGATCAGAGGACATCTTAATTAATAATTACAGCAACCGACATCCTCTTCATTTGTCTTCATTGTACTTTTAAAAATTAAAATTGCATCAAAGCACAATTTCGAAACAGTTCCAGGATCCAGGTAATAGTGATAAGTTAATGCTAATTTTGCCACATTTTTAGTCAATTGTTTTATTTGGTGTTTCACTCCTAAAAATATGTAACTAATTGCATTCCTTATCATATATAATTATTGCTCAAAAAGTAGACACACAAATAAGTCCTCTGGTAGTTTTGAACTATTTTTCTAGACCAGTGTTTTAGGCTTCATTAACTCATGGGGTTCAAAATACACAATCTGCATGTATTGATCACTTTATAAAATAAAATTTAAATAACCAAATAATTAACAATTAAATACATTGAAATATCTAACAGTTTCCAAAACAGAACTCCAAATTGATTGCTTCAGGAAGTATATTGAATAAGATGAAAACTAGATTGAATAAATTGGAATTGAGGCTACAAAACTTTTGGTAAAAAGAAAGCTACTGGGTTGTATGATACAGATCATGGGTTGTGAACCCCAGTTGCTAAGAAGCTTGCTGTATTTAAACTTTATTCATATGCTTAGCATGCACACCAAATACATAAACAACATACACAAACATTCGGGCAAGGCAAATAAACTGGCAGAAACAATCCCAGGTCTTGAACACAGTTCAAGAAATTATGCAATTAATTTGAGAAAGCAGAGCTAAAAAGATTAAGAAACATCTACTATCTAAGGTAATGCTTAGAGCATAATAAGAATAAGAATCAGTATTCTATTTAACCTAACCCGAGGCAGCAGACCTTCTGATGCTGTAACCAGGGAAGTTGTCCCTTCTTCATTGGATCTGATACAAGAGCAAAGTATATAACAGCAAGACAGTCTTGAAATTCAATCTCCATCACATGAAATTTTCTGAAATAGTTTGCTCTATATTCCAGAATTCCTTCATTTTTCCTCCATTCACAAGCTTTGCCCTAATGGTCTGGCTAGCTGCAGGCCAATGTTGTCAGTCAGAACCTGTCACTTATCTACCTCCCGTTGCTACTTCCGAGTCACATCCCTTATAAAACTTGTTCTTAATTTAACCACATCATATTCATGTCCACAAAGTTCACAGCTATTAAATATAAGAGGTTGGTGACTGGCCTTCAAAGGGTTTCTTGGGTACAGTTGTGGCCACATTCTCTTAGCTTTCGAAGAGGTTTATCCTTCATACCACAAATTGACAGTAGAAATTACCCTTCAAACTACAAATAATACATCCAGTACTGTTCCTGACAGTGAAAATGACTGCACTCTTCACATACTAGCATGAAAGTCTTACTCCCTGTTCCCCATTGTTCAGACTATTTTAACTTCTCATTTCGTCTGCCCTCAACTTCAGAAAAACCTTTGCATATCAGTCCAAATATCATCCAGCAGTTTTAAAGGGAGAAACATGCGTCAAAGTCAAACATGGACGATTCATGGAAACATCAGATCTTCAATGCATGTCACTTGGCCACCACCTCTGTAATCTAGAACTGGACGGTAAAGACAGCTCAGTTAACAAAATGACATCCTACTCCCAAGGGGAACAGCCAGTTGAAATTCCGCCTCCCAAAAGGAGTCCATAGAATGGATCCCCATGGTACTGGTTATGACAAACTTGCTCGCTAACTCACGGTGAAGTATGAAGACGTGAAAACACAAGCTAAAAACGGTAAATAACCACCATTTGATGAGCTGCACCTTCCAAGGTCTGTTTTATTCCTTTCCATGTGTAAGGATCTGTGACACTGGTGCGATATATCTGTGTGACCCAGAGCTGCTCAGTTCAGCAAACAAGTCCACATAACCCACGTACTATGCCTTCCTACTCAAGGTCATTGGTTAGGTCAAGGTCATAGACACTGAGGCTCGTGGCAAATGGTTCAACATTCTTGAGGTTACATGCAAAGGTTTCAACCAACCACTGCTAACACCAGTCAGCCATGTACTCAAAGTCTTTGAAGAGCAACTGCTCGTTGTTTGTGAGTGGGCGTCTCTCCTTAGGTGGGGTCAGGATTGGGCGTTCTGACGTGAATTCTTCGTCGAAGTTACTTACATCCTCTGTTGAGTTCTGGAAAATGGAGGGGGAAAATATTTTGACTTGAAAATTTAAAATGCTATCATTTTTGTTCTTTCTGTTTTTATGAATAATAAACCTTTGCAAACATAATCATATTTGACAAAACAAAAGTTACTTCTGTTTACAGGAAAAACTACATTTTTCCCTTGCCTCTGTTCATTAAACTTATTAACACATATTGCATATCACTTAACATATCTATTTGTATTTATATTTTTTCTCTGCATGGCCATTTTATTCAATATCAAGTACAACACTGCAGGTTTTAAACACAAAACGTATGACAATAAATCACATACTTAAAAAGCAGCTACTTAGTATGAATTCATTACACAGTGAATACTCACAATAGTGGGAACAAACGGTGGTTTGGTTTTCCTCATCAGGAGATCATCCCAGTTCACATTCTGGAAATAAACAAAATATATGAAAAGGATAATAGATTAAATAGAAATATGACTTCAACAGACAAAAGGAGACAATGAATAAAACAAGAAGAAAATGTGTCAAAATGTGTTCTTCATTTGTAACAGATTGACTTCATTCCTAATCAGAGAATTGCGTCTGTACAAAAGAAGGGCTTTATGAGATATGGTTTGGTGTGATAATTTGACATGATATTGTTATATGTTAAAAGCTAGGCTTACCCTAAAGAATGCCTGTTTCTTAACATCTTCAGCGTCACGTTCACTGGAACCTAACCTTCTCTCTGGGTTACGCCTGAGAAGCTGAAAATAATAACAATGTTTTATTAACATACTGAGAGAGGCCTACTTTTAAATGGGTGACTCACATTCCACATTTAATTACCCCATCTACAGAGTGAAATTTCATGTCAGTCTATAAAATAGAGTGCTCCTGTGGTATAAAACAAATATATTTACCATTTTAAAGAAAAGTCAGTTCTTAATCAATTTGAAGTCCTTCCTTGTTCTTGCTACTTAAAAGGTTCTTACACACAAAATAAATCTTTAATAGTCAAAATCAAAACTAAGATCTTACCCGCCTCATTATTGCAATTGACTCTGAGGAGAGGAAGCGTGGATATCGCACTTCTTCATTAACTATGCTGTCAAACACCTCCTCTTCATCATCACCAGGGAATGGGGACTGGAAACAAAAAGATTTGTTTAAGATCTTACTTATCTATGACTTTTACTTACATAAGTCACTGTAAAAATCAAAATCTTGACAAAAAAGTCAACTGCTGTAACTATAGATAAAATTCTTTTCTTGTATGGAATGATATGTCCACATACAACCTTTTCCTGCATCTGAGCTACACAAAAGATTTAATTTGATTTTGATTTCAAGTAACTGTTATAACAACAAAGACATACACTAATGCCACCTGCACAACAAAGGGACAGTTGGCTGCAAATACACAGGCAAAAGTATACACGGAGAAAAAAGTACAAACAACATTTTACTCAACAGGATAAGTTACTAGAAGATCTAAAAGACAAAATCAGACCAGAGCCTCACCTCCCCAACTAACATCTCAAATATGAGCACGCCGAGCCCCCACCAGTCAACAGCCCTGGTGTAGGAGGTCTCCGTAAGAACCTCGGGGGCAAGAAACTCTGGCGTCCCACAGAATGTGCTGGTTCTGTCCCCATGACCCATCCCTTCTTTACAGAGACCAAAGTCTGCTATCTTCAGGTACCCTTCAGCATCCAGTAGCAGGTTGTCTAGTTTTAAATCCCTGATAAATAAAATGTAAATATTATGTAAGAATTAGAAGAAAAAACTGAGTTCATTAAACCTTGGATGGCCAGGTGTCACCACTTGTCTTGTATAAACTTCAGAGCTGTATACAAAAGAAAACTACTTGAATGTAATAAATGGTCATTAAGGACAAATATATTTACTAAAGAAGTATGATGAAGTGTAAAATATGTAAAACAGAACCGTTTGGGAGTTTTACATTCTCAATTTACCTGTATACTATATTTTGCTCACCAAAAGTTTCCTCAACTTACATGAAGACATGGCAATCCCCAAATTACCTGTACACAATATTATGTTCATCAAAAGTTTTCTCAACTTACCTGTACACAATATTATGTTCATGAAGATATTGCAATCCCAAGACCACACAGGCTGCATAGAAAACTGTCCGCACCTCGGAGAAGACATCGTTATGTATGTGCATCATCAGGTCACCTCCCGGGGCATACTCCATTACAAAACACACATGTTCCTGGAAGCCAAAAAATGGAAGTTTTTAACTTTCTGCAGAAAATTCTTTTTTTTTTTAGTTCTTTTATCACAACACAATGATTACTAGAATGGTCTCCTGGTAGAGAGAAGAACTTTTTCATGACAAGACTTTTTGCATTAGACAAAGAAGAGCATTCAATTTTTAAAAGACATTGTGACAGACTATACAGATCTTTTCAATTTCAAGGAAATTCTTTCTTGGATTATCTGAACAGAAATCAACTGATACACAGTTGTACATGTTTTTACCTTCTGAAATGCATGTATTTAAATGGGACAAGAACGACCAAATGATGACAAAACAACCCTTACCTGAGTTTGGAAACAAGCAAACAAATTAACTAAGAATGGGTGCCTCATGGAGTTTGCAGTTTCAAAGATTCTCTTCTCGGACATTAAACTCTCAACTTCGTCCCTTGAAATGATGTCACCCTTCTTCAGGGCCTTTATAGCAAACAGTTCATTTGTGTTCTTGTATTCTGCTAGAAGAACCTAAAACATAGGAACACATTCTTTTTTAATGCTGCAGGACTTAAAAAAACGATGAATATAAAATCCAGAAAAAAATTCCAAATGTGAATATTGTTTTACTAGAAAAATATTTTTAACAACACAAGCTCAAACAACTAGCAGCAGAGAAAGGCACTTAAAAAAAAAAAAAAAAATTCTTTTAATTATATAACCTTTCCAAAATGTCCCCTTCCAAGTACAGCAATGCAGCGGAAGTTATCAGTTGTGAGCAAAGATGCGGGCCTAAAAAAAAAATAAAACAACAGAAAACTTATAATGGCTTTTTAATTAACAGGTATCATTTGACTGACAGAGAGTCTTTAAACAGACCAGACAAGTTAATTCTTTTCATTGGCAAACACCCAAAAGCCAAATATACATTTTATGACTTAAGTGTTTCTAGAACAAACAAATATACCCTTTAAAGAGTTACATACTGGGCTGCAATAAGGCTGACAACAAACAGACTTCACATATAAGCCATGGCATTCTGCAATGTTAAAAACATCCACATAATCCCTACAACAAATACCTTCTTTCAGGCTCTGGTTCTGTTATTTTTGGAGCTGGCGCCACGATCTCTCTGTTTTTCCTCTTGGCTGGGATGGGGGGTTGCGGAGGCAGGTCTGCAGGGGTGTTGTCTAGGTCCACAGTCTGAGCATCTAAACTTTGATCTGGCAGGAAGTCAAACATCGACAATGCTTGCTGGAATGAAGGTTTCAAAAAGAAAATAATATTCACATTTCTATATGCGCTCTCTCTTTGTGAAAAAAAAAAAAGTGAAATAGGAAAAATACAGAAGGTTAGGCACAAGAGCATGAAAACGATATTCTCTGACTGGTTTCAATTTCTTTTCCATTTTTTTAATTCAGTAATCTTTAACAATATCTCTAACCATTTATTATTATCATATTTTGTTTAAATTTGCATCTAACAGCCAAACAATTTTCTTGAACTCAAGAGGGTGCAGGTTGTTACAATGGTAAGTGAACTATTCAAGAACAATCCAAGGGCACGTGCATCCTTTCTGTTGACACCCCCCCCCCCCCCACCACCACCACCACAAGAAAGATAGAGAGAAATGATCACTCTGAGTGCACTACTCACTGTGACATCGGATAATTCTGGCATTTCTGTTTGTAGAGGAGACCTGGGCGTGGTCCCGTTGGCAGCAGGAGTTTGGGTTTCTGGAGTCTTGGGCTCAAAGTTGATCTGGTAGATGGGAGGACCTCGATCTAGAGGGACTGAAATGAATATTCACAGAAATATTCAAAGATACCCTTAAGAATTATTTTGGAAAAAAATACATACTCATATGTCTATTTCAGCAGATATGTTCTTCTGAATAAGGCATTTTTCACAAATTCAATTAATATCATCTGATCACTAAAAAATATTCTGCTCTTGCCAGGGTCTTGCAAAAGCATAAAGAAAGTCTACTACTTAGCTTTCATGTAAACAGTAAAAACTGCACACAACACACACAATACAATGCATTTCTTGGTAATAATCACTTACTTGGAGAGGTGATTTGCATAGGAGGACTTAGAGCAGAGCTCTCTGATGAACAGGTTTGGGGTATAGCACGTTTGATCATGAGCCGGCTCCACGTTGCCACATTGATATTCATCTGGTTGGGTCTCAGGAAGTTCTTGCCTGGAGGGACAAGCAGGTAAAAACAGGTAAAACGGTATGGAGAGGGTTACACTGATCTTTGTGTTCAGTCACAAGAGCAATTATCAATGGTTGATTTAAATTTGTGTGGTGTTTTATTGAAATTGATTAAAAGTTGTAGGTAGAGCTGGTTGGACAAAATTGCATGATGTTTATTTACATCAATAATTGCTTGTAATCAAGTATCTCTTTTGTCTCTTTTCTTCATTACAGAATATTTCAGTTTTTATTCCTAATATAACTTCTGATCCTAACTTTACGTAAATGTATTTAGGAGACAAACGATAAAATAGCCATCAGCAAAATCTGTGACCTTTTCAGAAATGTAGACATTCACAGTGTAATAGTTTTAAGAATAGGCCTCAATAAACTGCTGAGCCTATACAGATGAAGGGAAATTTAACACCTTTTACCAAGCCTTTTTGGTGCATAAAAACTATGGCATAAAGAAATCCACTCACCTTTATGTTTGAAAATCTTCCGCTGCCTTTGAAGTTTGGGTACTCTTGATATTGTTGGATTTAAGAAAGTAATCTTGAAAAAAAGGAAAACAGGTACTTAAAGCACAGATTCAGAATTTTAAAAATATTCTTTAACATACCAAATTTTTTCTTTATTAAGAGATCTGAAACAACACCAATATATGCCATCAAAAAGTATATATTCATCTCACAAAATATCTAAATGCTAAATAATATAAAATAAAACATGCATTTAACTTATCATAAATTTGTAAGTGATATTAATACTCAGTGTCTACAAGGCATTGTGTAATTCTACAGCACAACTTACTTCTGCAAAGAGAATTCCCTGGGGTTCTAGGTGTATAGCTATACCATGCCTCTGGTTGTCCAGGAAGTCTTCTAGTCTCAGGAATTTCACAGCAGACATCTGTCTCCAGTCCTTCCAGTAGATGGCAATCTCTACTTCTCTGGACTAAAATTGAACAATCAAATGAGAAACATTTCAATACAGATCTTGTAAGAGGATCTTGCCTAGAAGTTTAGCAATTCATTTAAACCGAATATCTGACCTGATATTAAAAAAAAAAAAACTTTAAAGCTAAAGAAAATTATGCAACCTCTGCACTTCAAAAATCAATGGTCGACTCCATGTTTGCTTATCTAGCCTTCACTACAATTTCTGTCTATAAGCATGCATGAGTGTGTGCGCAGGCACACATATCTTACCCTATCCAAGTCTATACACATTCTCTGATCCCAGCACTGCTGACTGCAGGGTTTCCAGGCAGTCTGGCCAACTCTTTGATTATCAAGTTTGAGCACTGCCATTATATCACCTGGAACAAAGCACCCATATATAACTCATCTATTCAAGAAAACATCATTCACATTATAACTTCTCTATTCAAAACATACAAAATTAACCAAACACGAAGTCCACTTTATTATATCTCAATTACTCCCCACCATACCTTCAAGAATATTAAAAGACTGAAAGTTTAAAAAGAATCCATAGAAAATTGTCGCTTGTTAATCCATATAGAGGCAACAACACATCTTCCACACAAGATTGACAACAGTGAAGAAAATATTAAATACTCACTTGAAGTTTCATCCTTCAAGCTGTACGTTTTATTGCTACTTCTGCCATGGAAGCTTTTCATAAATCCACCTTTCTCGTTCGGACTAGCCACTGCCCCTACACTGTTCCTCCTCCGTGTTCTGCCGGGGATGTCCTCTAGTAAACCTTGACAGCCCATCAACCTAAACACAGAATTCAACAGAATTTAGTTACAACAATGTCATGACCAAATGTAATATAGTGTCAGTAATTATGTGTAATCAGTGATGCCAGAACATAAATACATGCCTGCTGCTTACCTAAAATGATTAGAATTTTTGATGCTTACTGCTTTAGCTGTCTCTTTACACATTCAAATATTTTCTTCCTCTAAGCACTTGAAAATTACAGGTACTTGCCAAAACTGTAGAAGTGGTTTTATTATCTTATACTCTTATTTTTTTTTGTCAGAGCCAAGGCCAGAGTGTCATATTTTCTTTACAATACCACAAAATGGGACAGTCAAACCTAAACTAGCCATGCAATCATGTCTGTATTTAGTCAACAATTGTTGCCACTAGTGCATAGCCTAACAATACACTGGCTTGTGACCACTCATGCTAATTCTCAAATTTACTCACAAAACACACCATTTTTTTATAACTGATCCAACTACCAAGCTAATGAACATTTTCGCTCCTCCTTACAGTAATCACAAAGTCTGAATTGGTCAGTAATGCCACATACCCAGCCAGACCACCTGGTCCTGTCTTGTCCTAGTATACCTACCTCACTTGCAGAGTTCCTGTCAAAGCAGCTGCCCTTGCTAAACTGGAGTTCTTCTGTAGCTCCTTGGTCAGCTTGCTGCCCTGGACGTAAGAACTAACAGGACTGGACGCTAAGAGCTCCTCTTTTAAAATTTGCAGTTTTGATGCCTGAATGTCAGGCGAGAGTTCGTGAATTCTCCTTTCTAGGGAATATCGTATAAGTTCTAATTTTTGACTGCTCTCGTTTAAACTGATTTGAGCCTGAAAGGGAGGTGGAAAAAGAATTGATTCAAGCTGGACAACAAAACTAGAAATGCCCTCACAGTACATAAAATAAAAGTATCCCAGCTATCAAGTTAAAATGCAAGCAGGTGTACACAAAATAACTGACAAAACAGCTCCAATATACGATTGTTTGTTATTACAACTCTGTTATAGTGACCATGCCGATGATAAGGTCCAGTCATATGACCATACACTTGCTAATCATAGTTATACACTTATTATTTTTTTCTGCAGTACATGATAGAAAGATATCCACAAAACTGTCCATACATCATGTCATCAGGGAGATATTTATCCCAGGATGAAAGTGCAATTTTGTGAAAAAGTCTGAAAATATGGTGTAGGGTATTTTTGGCTACAGAAAAGTGGGAAATCCACTGATAGTCAGAAAAACTCATCCCTGTTTATCCATCCATCCACCTACCAGTTTCAACTGATATGATAAGATTTTTGGTGTGATTATCAAGTCAGACTTACCTCTTGAAGTGCTTTTTTATCAATTGACTTAGCATTCTTTAATAATTTGATGGCATTATTAGCGCCCTCTACCACAGCGGATTCTATCTTCAAGTGGTGACGGAGTTCCTCTATCCTCAACTCCAGTGGAGACAGGATTTCTGCTTGAGCTTCAATTATGAAAACAAACTTTAATAAACAAGAATTTCTAAAGTACATTTGTTTTTTTTTATGATGGCAACATCATTTACATTACAGCACATAAAACTTAAACTCAGAGCATTTTCTTTTCACTCACTGAGCACTTTCATGACGAGTACAATTTCACTTTAACATTGGCTAAATTTTCAAACTTGTATCAAGCTCAAAAGATCAATTATGATATCACTCTAATGCTTTCTGAAATTTCAAAGCACAGGGTATAGTTGAACATCATCCCTCTACTCCCCACTGTTAATTTTCAAGGGGAATCTATTTTGGAGTAGACATTATTTTAAGGAGATTCAACAGCACCAAAATGTCAAGAGTATAGACTGCCAATATTGCTGGCACATAAAGTGCTCAGATCTCATCCCACCATCACTTTTCCAAGTATCACTGACAGCATGCACCTTTTCCCCTCACCCTAAACTTCCAAAGGCAAGCTACTCACAGTATGAGCTGGAATTATTCTCCTTCTCGTTCTCACTTATATTCTGCTGCTGCTGCTGCTGACTGGCTTTCAGGATCTGCATTCGTATAATCTCTATTTTAGTTTTGGCATCACTGAGCATCTGCTGGGCCTCTGCCAGTAGTTTTTTATCCCTAGAAGCACCATACATGTGGATCATGTTCTCTGCTCCTTGCTTCACCTGGAAGAAAATGAGAGAAAATGTTAGCATTGTAATATTTACAGCACAGAACTACCTTCCAGTGTTTATCCCTAATTTCATGTTCAATAAACCAAGTAGCAGCATTTATTTCAGAAAAGATATGCAATTTTAGACCACAAAAAGCAAAAAACTTCTCTAGCATAGTGGACGCTGCAAAGACAACACACTAGACAACTGTAATAAACTGCAGTAAACATTTAGAAGATGCAATAAAATGTAATAAACATTAAGAACACAAGATCTCTGGGAGAGGAATCATCAACTTAGAGCTACAAAACATTTGCCACAGCCCCTACCTTGAGTTCAATATCCAACTGTTTTTGTAAAGATACCAGTTTCTGGTTATGAGGGGTGACCTGTTCTGGTGGCTGACCTTCTTTCTCTGGGGACTGGACTGTTTCCACTGAAAAAACAACACTCCATTAGAATACACACACATAGGGTATATCATCAAGTTTCTTTAGAACGGTAGGGTCAGAGCCAACCCACAACCCCCCCCCCCCCCCGCCCCTGCAAAACCCTCCACTTGTCATGGTTCTGCACCATTCTGTATGCTTGAACCAAGGTTTTACACCATTAATATTCTAATAATCATTATAACAATAAATTACCATAATGACAGAAATTGCAACCATTAAGTGTTTATCTTATATTTTGCCTGTGCCAATAAAAAAATTCTGAGGTGGATCATTATGGTTCAGCCTCCATACCAATAAGCATAAACTGACACTTAAAACATTACATAATTAAGTTAACCAAAACCCAAGATTGTAAAACCTTGCCCCACATGCCTTAACACCTTTACTTTTCTTTACTCCATATTGTAAGAATCAACGTAACAAGTATAATTGGAAACATTTTTTTATTCTGGAGCCTCCCCTTCCCTTCCCATCTCAGGTCTTATATACGGATTAGGCATTTACTATCACTACCCACAGGTCTTTTGTGGGTAATGTTATTAAAGGGATAATCACTCTTTATATGAGATCTATATTTCACAATAAAAACATTGCGAATAACTCATAGAAATATAATATATTCTGTTTTACCACAAAAACGGCAGTTATAGCTATTATTCTGATATCTGAGCTTGTCTTTAGACCATGTGACCTCCACTGATGGCTATACTCTTTTAAAATCTCTTAAGAGATTTTAACAAAAAACCAAACTTTTTAGAAAAAATCCAGGGACTAACTTTGAATGTAAAAATGGATTCATTAACCGTTGGTAAGTATGGAAAAATTGTTGTTTACTCCAGGAAAATTCATTTTTTGGCCGAAACAAAGAGTTATTATGACTTTAAATGTCTAATCCATTTATAAGGCATGCATCTCTAAAGAAAAATCCTGAATACACCAGCTCTCTCTTTCCTCTAACAAACAGAAGAGACTCTTCACTTAGCATTCCATCAACCATTGCCATAAATGTAATTTTAAGTTTACTTGAATATAAATCTAAACATACCTGGGAATTTGGTTAACAGAAATATGTTGACCACAACATTAGAATATTAGACTTCACATGTGTTTTCATTTATATAAAATTGGAAGAGTAATTGGACAGTCGCCTGAGTCACAACATAGTAATGAACCTGACCATTTCTAATTTGGTGTGTAATGATTTACTTCAGTATGAGTGTGTGTTACACAGAGAATTGGGATAAATAAACAGTGCACAAGCAGCTAATCAAATGTACATTCACAAGAAGGAAGTTGACTCCTATCTTTGCAATGACAGATATTTATGTTAAACTTCCCCACCAGAAGCATGAGCTGACTCTGAGAAAGACCTGGGGTCTTATAAAATAACTGGCCTTAACAAAGTCTATTGATTGGTTCACCAAAACAAATACTATCAGCCAGACATGACGTAACTATCGGATCTCAAACTGAGACCAACACAGCCATGCAAGGATCAATTTAATTCATGGTATTACAGTTCTTTGAGAGGGGGGGTTAGCATCAAACAGATCACAATTCCAACTGACTGAATTCATTTTGGCTTACCATTTTGCTGTAATTTTAAAAGACCATTCTTTTTGGGTTTAACTTAAAGGAGCAGTCAAAAATTTGAGCACATACCTTATAAAAAACCTGTAATGCACAAGTAAATTACTCACCTGGTACGTTGTCCTGGGTATTCCTGTTGGATACTAATAGGTGAGCATTGAGCTCTTGTAGTTCTTGATGCAAATCTTGCAACTTGCCATTGGCAGTTTTTACTACCCCATTCAAGTTCTGCAAACTTTTTTTGTCCGTTGTCACTTTCATCATGCGTTCTGCACCTTCTTTAATTTTGAGTTCCTTGCGTATCTCTTTCTTGAGTTCTTCACGAATATTTTCTAGCTCCTCCTGTATTCTGGCCTCAGACAGACCGTCATCAAGGCCATATCTTTGTACAAATGCTCCGTATGTGTTGTACTTCATGTTTGGCTATAACAAAAACAAAAAACAGTATGTGAAAAACAATCTTGCTTTTCTACCCAAAGACTGCTGTACAGTAGGTCAGTGAAATTCATTCATTCAATACTAAAACTAATCCATTAGGAGTCATCTAATAGCTGTGCATCCATGGGCATAAAAATCCTTCAAATCCCTTCTGTACAACTGAAAGACAGATTTGTTATTTGCCAGCTGTTTCTGAACACGTTGCCTTCTTCATACAAGGTAGCAGATGGACAGAACACAACATTCAGAAATGTTTTAGGAGGACAAAACAAGGGGAAAACAAAAGAAATTGTAAAAGTGAGGGTACTGTATACTGACATGTGACAAGCTCATTTTCACTATTAGTTAAGAGGTTAGATTTCATTTAAAAAAGGCATTAATTCATATACCGTATGTTCTGAACAAGGATATACAAGACAGAGTCAAAAGACTTCAGTCAGCACTGACAACATCTGAATTCTTACATCATTCTATTCCCAGTTGTAAGCAGTGCAGTTAGATTTGTAAGGACACCAAGTAAACACCATGGACAATTTTCTAATACTTACTCGCCCTCAATCTAATGTGTACCAAACTCAAAAACATTCCATAAGGTCTAAATAAATAACTGTCTTTCAGATTGCCTGACTTACCCTAGTTCGAAATCTGGCCCAACCTTACTTCACCGGTACTGCTATATGTAGCAATATTTTTTCTTTCAAAATAGATAGCTGATAAAATCATAATTGCATCATACAACACAAGGTTGTACGCAAGCCTGCACAGCAGAATGTAACAAGGTCTTAGCTGTAGTTAATATGTATCAATGTACTGAGCCCAAGATTGATTACTCTATTGGCACAATCATCAAATTATGCAGTAATAATCATATTCACGAAGAAAAAAGTTCTATAACACTCTTCAGCCAATATTCTTACAAAGACTTCCACAAACACATTATTTCACATAATTCAGGTGTTTAAATAAAAATCCTATACTGTACTTAAAGTCCCTTTCTCTACAACTTGGTTTAAAAGCAGGCTATGTTAAAAAATTGCTTTCTACATCTTATACCTGTTTATATATATATTAAAAAAAATACAGACCATTTTCCTGGTGTGTGATATTGTATATATCAATAAATTGGATAAATCTTATCTGCGTTGCCTGCAGTGCTACATTTATCTTCCAGCTGCAGAGAGGCACAAGTGTATTATATATTGTGGGCATTGTAGGTCTAGCTAGCTGTACCTAATGTAAAATGTAAAGTAAATGGCAAATGGCTAATAAGACAACCCGCTTATCCTATAACTCAATTAAGAAAATTCAACAAAAAATACATTTTATTAATGACAGATTTAACTTGCGCCTATCAATCATAGACAGCCATCCAATTATCCTTCAGACAGCGGATATTCTATTTATAGGTCTTATTGCCAACTACGTCTAGCTTTTTTATTTGTGGAGAAGGGGGGGGGGGAGGGGAAAGGGCAGGGGGAGGGGGGTGAATAAGGGAAATATTGATAGCAACTGGGCTAAGAGTAATTTGAGTATTTTTCAAGTTTCATAAACTGAAAAAGATATACGAAGAGCCAAACAGTTCCCATTTTTTTTTTTTTACAAGAAGCCGATTTCAAAAGTCACCACTGATCTGAATTAATTACAATTACATGAATCAACTTGTACAGGAATATGAAGGCAGTGGTGTGCAGTCTATACCTAGCACCAGCAGATTGTACTATTCACTTCCCTGGTTACCAACAAAATACTGCCATGGACCCTCAGGGAGAAAGTTCAAAATATGACCAATTCATTTCTATAAAAAATCAAATTCCTAATTGTTACCCATTCTCAGTTAATAGCATGTCAGTCTGTCTGAAGATCACTCCCAAGCCATTCAGCTTCTGAATTCTCCTAATATACCCTTATGTGACATCAGCAAGTAAGGTTTTTCCGGCTTAATGAAAATCTTCCATAATTGCAGTCCTATTTTATCCTTCAGCAATTCATGAAAGCCTTCCCTTATTACCTCTACTTCTGGCCTGATGGCATTTCATATATACAAGCTCTTTTCTTGTCCTGTCATGACCAATGTATTCTTTCTCAGACACACTATTCTGCTAATATCTAAGCATCCGCATTGCTCCTCGATACTGGCATATGGTAATAGCTTTATGCAGATTCTACAAATTAAAAGCGCTAGTTTCATCAAAGGGCATTCTCGTTGGAAATAAACCAGTGTCAATAGGCTAAGTTCCTCTAATTAATGACAAAATAAAATTTTAGATAGTATTTCTCATGAAGTTTACCTGTTCAATTTCAGTTGATACAGTTATACAGGCTCTGAATTTTCGCTATCTAAAGGCAGGATACAAAACCTCTCTTGTGATGTCTCCTTATGAGATGACATCACTGATGAATATTTGTTCAAACAACATATCCTAAAACATGATCAGCAGTATAAAATACTGGTCAACTTAAAATGACTGCGTGAGTCAGTATTTTGAGGAGTTGGTATCAGAAGTAATATTAGCATCATGTAGCTGTTTGAACAGCATTTTTGTTGATCAAATACATATAAAGTCTGCTAGGGCTCAAATCAAAATCCTTACAGTGAAGTACAAAAACACAAATATCTCCACCCCACTGTTCCCATATATTTCAAAAACCTCTCACTGACAGTTGATGTTTTGAGTGTAGGTGTGACAGTGACAACCACATTACCAGTGGTATACAGTTATCATGGCTTAGAGTTATTATTTTAATAAGTACACAAAGGTACAGTTATTATTATTAATGAGTACACAAAGGTACAGTTATTATTAATAAGTACACAGAGGTCTGTACAAGTAATCAGTTAATCAGTTATAACATTGAGAAGATGACCTGGGTCTGAACCTAAAGGCAGAGCTCTATGAAAGAGACTTATTACCTCTATTAAAGGCAGTGAAAAGCAAAGGACTTCACAGGCTTGAATAAAGGCATATTTTTTAACATCTATCTCTTGGTTTTACCTAGAGTCCTGACACAGACTGCGATTTATCATCTATCACCATGTCACCAGATCAGAGGAGAGATTTGTAAAAATATGCCATTATGAAAATAATGAATTTTTAATATGTTTATATACCATTATCTCCTCACATTTAAGTGTGTAGGCATGAGAAAAAAGCAAGTGGGTGAAAAGAGGTCAAATGTGTTCTGAGTGTACACTTAAAACAATCCAAACTATCTCCCTCACTGTTATATTGAACTCACCTGGCTCTAAGCACTTAATTAGTTTGTAGCAGCATCACACATTGATACACACACACACAAGATAGAATGACAATTTCTACAAATGTTATGATGTACACAAAGCAGTTGGTCCAACCGCCAAGCTATGACCAATTTATAAATGACAAGTTGGTCAAACAGTGATTCATTCAAAACTTACTCAAGTCATGAATGATACAAGGTTTCGGCGATCATATGCCGTGCAATCACAGGCAGATTTATGTAGGTCGCATAAAAACATTGAGTGACCAGAATGTTTAATGTGTATGTGAACTGAATAGTGTGAAAAGAAGATACATCTGTGTTCACCAGCGTAGCTAATACTCACCTGGTAATACAAGGTGCCAGTAGTAGGTTCGGCCATTTTGGAAGTAGTGCTTCCAAGTCAAAACACCACCCAAATTTGGTGTCTGGCCACGCCTTGTAGCGTGGGAGTCTGTCCTTAATCCTTCAGATGTGATCGACGCCTGTGTGAATTGTAATGAATCAAGACTCCGTCTACTCATCTACACCCGAAAAGACGAGTATTTTGACTTCATACATTCACATAACTTTATCGGTGGAGATACCGTCCCTGAATTTACAGATCCTGAGGTCACGTGAGAGGTCAAATTCAGCCAATGAAAATATACTTAGTAAACCTTTGAAAACTTTAAAAGGTAGGTTCTCATTGGATCAATTAAATAGTTGTGATAGTTAAGATACG